TGTAATTACACATGGGCAGAAATGAGTTGCTTCCGAAGCTAGGGTAGCATGCTAGTGGGGGTTTCGCAGTTTTTTTAGTTTTTTTTTCTTGTTGGCGGTCTATTGCTGTTGGAGACAGCTAACGGTCTCGACACTCGGCTAGGGTGCGGACATGTCGCGTGTGCCATATGCTGTGGTGAAGTCAAGCCCTCGGCGTATCGCGATGCAGCCGAGCAAAACGCAAAGTAGCGAGCATGTGAGGGTTGGAACAAGACCTGGGTTGGGTTTTCCGTGGTTGACGCGGGGCGAACAGATTGGGGGTGCGAGGTCTGCGATGGTTGCGATGAAGTTCGTAGAAAAACTCGTCTCATGTTGTCAACGAGTTATGCGTTCGCATTAGCGGCGGCGATCTATACCTTGGGAGCAAGGTTGCATCTGTACTCCTGAGCCCAAATTGATGGCTGATGCAACTTGCTCGAGGGGCGCCGCGAGCGTTGCCTGGCCCTAGCCGTTGGGTTTTGGGCAAAGGGAGTTTTCCCCCTTGCGCTCTGACGATGAGGCGAGTCGTGTCAGTCGGCTTGACAGGCAAACAGGATGCGGACCAGCAGTCACCAGTGCAGGCTTGCAGCAGCGTGACCATGGAAATGGCAGTGGCAGTGTGGCACCCGGCGTTGAAGACGACGCTCGAGCCCGCCTCGGTTTGCATGCAAGCGAGAGAGGTGTGCTTGGGTGCGTGTGTGGTGCTGTCAATAAGAGACGCCGTTATGTCAAAGCTTCAACTTCAGTGGCTACTGGTCGGGAGCCGGGGTCGAGGGGAGTCGATCCTCAAGTCAACACGTCGAACCGGCGCACTGAGTGCCCGAACCATTCCTGATTCCGGGGGTTTGGCCGGCTTGAACAATTTACTCGTCAGGGAGAACCATAAAGTATTGCGTGCATGGCGTGTCCGAACGGATAAGCGACCCTTTCTGCGGGGGGCCAGCTGCCTGAGGTGGGCGCTGTAATTGCAGCATCGCACCAGATGTTCTGAGGTCATTGATTCAGGAGCTTTTGTCTCGTCTTGAGTTTATTCCGCATGTTTATTCCGTGGTCTCGGCGGCGGCGTGGCTTTTGCGCTGGAACCCGGGGTTTGCTTGCACGAAGACGGAGAATTCGAGTGGTGATTGATGTCAGGAGCGGCGAGTGGATGTCATCCCTCCACTGACAGTGCCGTTGACAGGGAACACGGGGGTTACACAGAGGCGAGTAAGGTGAAGAAGTCTCCGTAGGGCGATTGAGTCTTGGCCGGGATTGGTTGGCAGGTTTAGAGGCGCACTCAAGTTGGGGGCCTGTCTATCCCAAAGGAGGAAGCGCCGTTTGCCGACTTTCCATCCAGATTGGAGCCTCGAGGTTGAAATCTTGGACCGTGAGATTTGGTGACATTGTTGGTGGTTTTTTTTCTTGCTTTGACCTCCGAAGCCCCGTTGCGCGTCCCGCAAGAGAGAGGGGAACGGTCGGCACAAGAAAGATTCGAAGAGGGGCAGGGAGGAGCAGAAAAAAATGGTGAAAAAATCGGTCATACGGCGCAGACGATGAAAAAGAAACGAAACGAAACATTGTGATAAGTCGGCAACGATGTACCTCAGTTGTAGGTAAGGTAGAGAGAGGCATGCCGCATGCATGGAGGTGCTGCGGGAGAGGATCCGGGAGGTCTGGGCGAAATGACAGAAGCGTCTAAAAGCGAGGAAAGGAGCGACGTGATTGGGTCAGCAGGTGGTCACTTGCATTTGCATGCAGTTGCCGTACCTAAGGCACCTCACCTGGCCGCTTCCTGCCCTGCTTGCCTGCCTCCTCGCGCCTGCCTCCTGGCTCCTGCCTGCCTCGTGCTGCTCGCCGCCTCCACTGTCTGCAGGTACAGAGCAGGAGCAGCAGCCAGAGCACAGGGTGTTCCTGCCTTCTCCCTTGCTTTATTCACTTGGAGGTGAGATCGGGTAGGCACGATGGTGTTTCCTTCGTGCCTTTCTAGGCAATGTCATGTCATGCCGTCCTGATGTCCTCATCTCCTGCTTCTTGACTTCCTCCATCTCCATCACCTCGGGCAAGACTCAAGACTCCGGTGTATATGCAACGCTCGTGCCTCGTTCCTCTGATGAACCCTTGTCGCGTGCTCGAGCGCAGTTTACCTTCCATCATGACAATATTCACTCAATGCCTTTGTGTGCCTTGACTCTTGCTTCCCTAATGACTTTGAGACAGGAAACTCCAGAGTCGCACTTCTGCGGAGCTGTGCATTCAACCTTGCTGCTGTTGCCATTTGAGGAATCGAACAGGCGCCTTATCTTGGTTCGTCCCTCTCGCGCTCAAGCTTTGGGTCGCTTAGAGTGAGGTGCCCAAGCGGACGGAAGACAGACCCAGACTCAGGCCCAGCGACGATGGAGTCCTCGAGTCCCCTCTTTGCATCTCTTTTTCCCTGGACAACGACCCGACCACAGCGACGACAACGACGACGGCCATGTCAGTGCGAGCGTCCCTTTGGAGTGCCCTCGAGAAACATGGCCAGTCACAACGTCCGTGAGCCCTTCACAATCCCTGCCTAGCCATGAGCGAACCCCCCTGTCGTCCTTGCAGCGTTTCCACCCACATCCACTGAAAAAGTCCGCAGTTGCTCTTTTGGCGGCTCCATCACGGGTTTTGGCGTCCCACTTGCTCCTGCCCACCTCCAGGTGCACACTCAGTCCACACCAGTCACAGTCCGGTCCAGTGTGGTGTCGCCTCTCCCGTCCGCGGACTCATCCCCCGGTCTGCGCCTTCCCTGGGACGGAGACGCATGTGGCACCCGAGTCCAGAGCTAAGGGCGGTACGTACCTTTTGGCCCTAGCTTCATCCGTGGATGTGAATCTCTCTCCCAGTTGCCAGGTGCAGTCCAGTCCATCGTCCTCCACTCCCTCGTCCAGTCCCAGTCCCAGTCCCAGTCCCAGCTTCTCTGCGACCTTTCTCCCAGCTGCTGCTGCTGCGTATCCGTCCTTTTCCATTTGCTGGACGTACCTAACGCACGACACTAACTTTTTCTGCCTATCCGTGCCTGCCTTTCCTACCTTACCTTACTACTACTAATGCCGTACTCCCTCAACCACCACCATCACCCACTCTCGCTCCCACTACTTCCACTCCCGTCAGAGCAACCACCTTACATCAGAGACACCCGCAGAGTCAGGAAACGTCCAAGACAAGACAAGCCACATCTCTGAGGTGCAGCTCCCGTCCGCTGGGTGGCAGCTCGACATGGACCTGGACCTGGCCCTGGACCCAGAACGAACCGAACTTTGACCCGACCCAGACGGGACTCTCGACACCACTCTCGACACTGCATCTGAGCACACACCCTCCTTCGTCTTCTTTTTTCACTTCTGTGGGCGTGGGCCACTCGAGGACGACCTCTCCCGTCCCTCCAGCCCGCCGCCCCCTCCTTCATCACACCCCCCTCCTCAGCATTGGCTGTCTCCGGGTTTCAACACGCCTCGAGCATCTTAAAGCCTTCACTGTCTCCGGACCCTTCAAAGACCGTGTCCCTCCTTCGGCTCTGTGCTGATCTTCGGTCGACTCTTAATTCTCTAATCCCAAGACTCCGGGGTATCATACCTTAATTCCTCCCCTTCGGCCCATTCAGATCGGCTTCATCCTGTCTGCTCCCGAGTCACAACCGATACCTTACCTACCTACACTACAGCTCACAATTCACCTTTCTTTCCACTTTTCTCCCGTTTCTTTTTCCATCATCGGCCTCACCTGCCGTACTTTAGTGTCTTGCGCCCCTTCCTCCGCCATCAGGCTCCTTTTCCTTTTCTTATACGCGAGCCACCACCCAGACTTCGCTCGACCCAAAGCCAGAACCAGAACGCAGACGGCCCCTCTCATATATATTGCGATCCATCTCACCTCGACCACTGTCTCACCGAGTCGTCATACAACCTTCATCGCACAAACACGTCCTTCGGCCAATCACCCCGCGCCCTTCTCGATCAGGGTCTCTGTGTCACCCGTCTTCGGCTCATCGCCCTCGAACACGCTCAACCGACGTCGCGCAGGCGAGGAGGATCAAGTCAGCTTGTCTTGTGCTCAGCACTTCGCCTTATTACCCTCCTGCCCTCGCGTCACCATTGGTGTTCTGGATTCCTCACAGCCGATCCGGTGAGACTCGATTCATTCCACGTAATCGACTCTTGCCCGACTCCTTCCTAGACGGCAATCGCTCCTGCCCGGGTGTTCCTGCCTTCCGTCGTGGTCGCCGAGCTCTTGTCTCACCGTGACCTCACCTCAGCCAGCGTCCCAACATTGCGGCCGAGGCCTCTTACTCGCTCCTTCCCTCTCACACCTCGACTAACACAAACTTTTCCCTCTCACGGATTACTCTTTTCTTATTTCCTCTCCCTCGTCCCACCATCACCTCTTCCTCTTAACTTATAATTCTTAACTGGTACGTGTGCCCCGCGTCAACCCAACTTCTTTGTCGCATACACCTCTTCTTCCCAGAACGAGAGCAACTCACCAACACTTACACTAATAGATACACACCAAAAGCCGACTGGTGTCAGGCTTCAATCACCATGCCTAATAGTTTTGATCGCCTCGAGAGGCTCTTCTCTAAGAGAAAAGACCTCACGATTCAGACCACGCCAGCACCCTTCGAGTACACGGGGCCCAAAACCGCCAGCCTGGATCACAGCTTTCCTCAGCCGTCGTTCATTCGTCCCCGCGTTTCTCGGATGAAAGCCAGAGATGAGCGCATAGTAGCTTCGCAGAATGAAAGGCGCGCGCAAAGTCTCCCGGAGAACCAGTCCGAGCGCGTCTCAATCCACATCTCTCACTTGAGCAGTTCGAGCGCAACCACCCTCAACCTCCCAGCCCGCTCCATGTCACTTAATCAACGCAGAGAAACTCAGACAGTGGCAAGTCTGCGCGGCTTCGACTTTCCTGCTCCTCCCACAGGCCGCCTGCCGGCTTCGCCCGCTTGCGCTACGTCGTCGCCCAGAACTCTACCCGCAATGCATAAAGTTTCCCCCGAGCACCGCCACAGCTCTGTCATACTACCTCCGAGAGCTGACACCCCACCCTCTTCCGACCATGAAGACGACTCAAGCATAAAGAGCTCCCAGGTCGGCCGGCCCTCGTCGGCCATGAGCAGCGACTTGCCCACCCCCGCCGCATCACCCGAAATGAAGCCTGTTCACGAAAAGCGATCATCAAGAGATTCTGCAGAGCTGAGCCTGGCCAAGCGAAAGGCCGTCGCCGCTGCGACACGTCGTCGGAGAGAAGACAAGGCCGCATCATTACGCCGCCCCCGCGAGTCGAGGTCTCATCGGTCTGCTACGTCATCCAGCCAAATTCTCAAGGGAGGGGATGTTAGAGACTTTTTCGCCCTTTCCGACGACGACATCTTGGAGGAGCCAGAGTTGGAGGAAGTTCCGGACACGCCGATCATCCCCGCCCCCCTCAGGTCGCCTCCGTCGCCTCCAACCCCGGCTTCGACATCTTCTGCTCCCCGCTCAAGGCGGACCTCATCGATTTATGCCGACGACGTCGCCAAGGAAGGAGCTCTTCAGGTGGCTCAGATCGCCGCTAAGCACAATTTCGACCTTGTCTACATTGTCAACCTGTGGCCTGAGTACGCATCCGATTTTCCATCATCGCCGTACCGGGCTTCGCTGGACTTGTCCTCGTCACGGCCATCCAGCGTGAGGAACTCACTCCTCGGACCTATGGAGGGCCTTTCCGTGGAATCAGCGCCAGGCATGACAGGTCGCCTCCTCGCGGCTTACGGACTGTCAAACCTCAACAGCCCTTTCCGCATTTCTGCCAATGTTCAAGCCAAAATTCTGAAGCACGAAGGATGGATGGAGTACCGCAGCGATGACGCAAAGGACGGCGAGTTCGCTCGCGGTTACGGCCACGCTTTCCACACTGCTGTCGGACGCAGAGGCTCAGCCAACTCCAGCCCTCGCAGCTCAAGCTCTCAAGACATCTTGCACAACGATCGCGGCATTGTCTTTGCTGCTTATCGCTACCCCGGCAAGGATTCCACCGCGGCCGGATGCTCCAAGGAGGAGCTTGAGTCTCTCCGCGCCGATGCCGAGGGGCTTGTCGACTACCTCGTGGCGATTCACAAGGCCAGACGCCTTCGTGATCCCATGACCCTTCAAACACTCACCGATGAGGAAGAAACCTTCTCGTCATGACCAGTGAGGCTACACGCCTGACGCGCCTGCAGCACCCCAACCTGCAGCTACGACTGTTTTTCCGATTTACGCCATACGCCAGCAGTGGGACGGACCACAGATGATCAACGATTCTTCATTCTTTCACTTTTTCTTTGTCAGGATTTACATTCTATTGCGATTCGGTTTCTTCGATATGATACCACATGGAGAGCGTCGTCTTTTTTTATTCATGGCATCGGCTTCGTCATTTAGCTCAAAAGAGACAAGTTAGTTGTCTTCTGTGACGAGTTCGGGTGCTCTCTGTTCGACACCAATCTCAGGACTTTACGTGGATGGTAGTGGTGGACTGGGAAGGCGCGTCATGAAAGCGTGGCTCACGGTTGGCATGCGAGATGTTGGTGGACTGGTGTCTTCGGACTTTGCTACATAGCTGACGGGCCTCAGTCCGTAATGAATCAAAAAGCATCATGATTCCTCACTGTTTACTTGACATACCTTGCGTGATTGAATGCGTGTCCTCAGCGCTCGAGCGGCGGTCAATGTCTACGTCATGAAACCTGATGACCCTCGGCTTCACCGGTAAGGATCACTCAGAAAATAGCCACAACAATCCGATGTTTCCCAACCACGGACATTTTTTTTCTCGTATGCCCCAAATTAAGCACCGTCAGCCAGCCCGCATGCCCAGATAGACGAACCAACCCCGCGTCGGCCGGCGAGTCGTGGCTCCAAAAAGAGAGGTGTATCTTGGAGGCTGAGCTGTCAACGCCGCGCCGCAGCGGGTTGCCTCAAGGGTATCCGCTGGAAGAAAAGCCCGCCCGCTGCCACAAAGCAAGGTTTTCCGATAGAGAACGAACGCGAACAGCAGTTCAACGGGCGGGCAAGGCAAGGCAAGGCCTGGCAAACCGGCACGCCGGGGAACCCCCTTGTTGAAACTTCCCGCGACGCTGGTTGGGTGGGGGTGGAGATCCGGGTGTCGTGCGTGGTAACTGGGTGCTGTGCCCGCGGCGACATGGGGGAGGGGGGAAGCCTGGGAGGGGGGTGGACCTTGAAGCTGGAGGAGGAGGAGGCTCGCGGATACGGTATCCTTGGCCCTTGCTGGACTTGTCAGTGCAACATGGTTACACGACGGATCGGACGCCCGCCGCACGCCATGTGGCCTGTAATCTTGGTGGTTGCGTTTTTGGTGGAGTGAGTGAGTGGTTTACTTGCTAGTCTGCTAATCTAGATTTCTTGCACTTGCTTGCTTGGCCGCTGCTGCCCCTCCCCGTTGGATGACGGCGTAGCAGCGGGAGAGAGGTTCCGGATGGTGGGGGCGGCGAGTTTGCTTTTTTTGGTGGTGGTGGTTGTTGGTGGTCAGCCAAGACAGGACGCAAGACATTTGATGAGAAGGAAAAAAAATTGGAGGTGGTGGGCGATTTAACGACGGATTGGACGGCGGCTGGATTGATATTGGTGTGGGTTTTTTGACGGATGATGCGGCCGGATGGTGAGAGGTTTTTGTTGGTCTTGGTCGACGCTCGCCATGCGGGAGGGTTGCAGCCAATTTTGCTAGGTTCCATGTCTTGGAGGTGGTTTGTTTTTTTAGAGAGGGGGCGGCGTTGTGCCTTGCATGGGACATGTCGTTCGATGTTTAGCGGAGGCTAGCGCTGGCTACTGATGACGGAACGTCCATCTAGATGTCTTGCAGGTTCATGCACGTTGAGATTTGGATAGATTCTTGATGGTGTGATATCTGACTTGAGAAGATGGTGTCTTCATTTATTGTATAGTTCTGGCCTTGTGTGGTTTCTTAGATGATCATCCGGATACGGACGCTTCGAATAGATGGTGGTTTGGAAGCAGCGCTCGATGGCCGCCGGCATATCACGTCTCTTGAAGTTTTCGTTAGTAGGACGACGCTGGAGTATTCCGTCAACATTCATCTTTGCAGAACGGCCTCGACTGTCGTGGAGTCTGATGTGGACACACTCGATGAGGCAGATTCACGGAGAGATGCCCTCTTTGAGATGACGGTTCGATGTTAGTGGGACGACGTTGGAGCAGTCCGACAACGCGGTCCCTTGCAAATCCCATCTCGAGGCCATCCGATTGGAAGAGCTCGATTTGTCTAAGATGGACCAAGATGCCTAGCTCCAGGGGCACGATTTCAATCGGCGTGGAGATCTACAGACAACGTCCAACCGTCGTCTAGAGCGTGCCATCGCTTCTGATTGGGGCGGGCCTCTGAGGTGACATATGCTAAGATGTCGAGACTTGGCTTAAGGTCTGAGAGCCTTGAAGACATGCAGTTCTGACTTGCGCGCATGTCTGCTGCTCCGGCTCCGAAAGGGACGTGCCCCTTCAGGAGCCAGATGCGGCGTTTTCTGGTGATGGGAAGTGTGTGTGTGTGTGTGTGTGTGCTCGGACTCCCGTGAGGCGTTCGGGGTCGGGCTAGGGGAAGCGTTTGATGGGGGTTCCGGCGTTAGCTTGGTGGGTTGTCTTGTTTGGAGCTAGTTGAGGCTAGGTCTGCAGTTTGAACGACAGAATGCTCGTGGTCCGAGGAGGTTTTGGGGGGTGTAGCATAGGAGACGATGGGCAGGGTGGTTACATGGGCCCGATGACGAGAGGTATGGTGTACCGATCAATGGCCATACAAGTATCGCATCTATTGAACGGGTTTGGTGAAAGCCCTCCGGATATCAAGTACAAGCTCCAAGCATGAGGTGATACCCCGCAGGAGAGCATTGTCGACATACTCAGGTCTCAAGGGGAACACCCCGTAGTATCTAGTGGGATCGACAGCTATGTCTTGAGAAACTGCGCATGTTGAATACCAAAAGAATGGCATGGCTTTTTCGTTGTTCCGCGCCGGGCTGGCAAGAAAAGGTGGCGAGGCAAATCTTGAGGGAAGTTGAATGTCTCCCAATTCCCACGACCTTTCTACATTCTGGAAACGCCACCTACGGTCTCAACGTCAAATTCGATTGGGGACATAGTCTTTCTGAGTTGGCCGACAATATAAACTAAATACTGGCCAAACGTTACCTGTGTCCGTGTTAGAGACGGATCAACTCTCGCAGACAGCACTGAAGTCAACGTGTTAGGTCCTGTGGTAGCAACGATGAGACCTGTCACACCATTGACCGAAGCTTCCTATCCATTGAGAAAGTAACGTTCTGTATCGCCCAGCGGCGTCTGACCTTCGACTTTGGTCCCTCATATCATTGCCAACGAGGAGGCTCAAAGTCCCAATACTCAGCGACGGCAGCACTCATGTCCCTGGCGACATGATGCTATGGACCACGGCATGGGGTCAGCAAACTCGATATTCAGACTTTCACTTGTCTACGGAAAAGCTGTGGAAGACGGAGAGTGACCAATGCACATTCGTCTCACTAATACTCTCGTTTAAGTACATTTGTGCATTAATTCTTCCGTTCGACATAAACAACAGACTGTTTGGATACCTGAAGCAAGACATGGCGTGGGGATTTGCCGTACCATGATATACTATGGCTTCCCATAAGGAAGATCTTTTCGCTTTCCGTAATGACGCGTTCGCTGTTGGCGGGATGGAGAGTGTAGTTAGTCGTCTTCGCACCAAGCACAGAACCGCGTACTGGACCTTGTTCCTGTCCTTTTCGAAAATCACAAGTCTCCAACCACTGGGATAGGCTCCCATGGAACTGAATAGAGCGAGTGGCTGAATATCATACCCGATGGGATGTCAAGTAAAGATCCGGATGTCACCGGCAAAGTATCAAGGCATGAGTTGGAGCGCACGCCAACCAATTCCATTCACCGCTTTCTTTCTGACGTACGTTTGGCCAGCGATCTCGCCATCACAAGAATATGATTACACAACGGCATGTTCATATCGGAAACAGATGGCCTGATTGAATTGTTGCGAAGGATAACGACCTGACCTGCAATCATGGATTATTCCCATCGTCATCAGTGAAAGTAGCGACATGCATTGTCATTGACTTCTTGTTATGACTGCAACCTCCCGGATAGAGAGTCACTTTCCATAATCAGCTCATCGAGATGGTACACGTCTGAGTACTCAACGGCACGTGGGACATCAGGAGAGAAACGTAGCGATACCTCGGGGCAATGTTATGACTTCTGGTACCTCGAGGCTTCATTTGATAGGTTTCGATACCCAAATTATCAACAAGCCCGTTCCGCAGCTCATCTTCAGCTATTCAAATTGACGGGTTGTTGGGTCTCTGAGGTCAAGTCTTCGAAAGGAATGGAATCGTACAGTAAAGGCTCACGCTGTGTCAGTTTCCGTGGCTCCAGGTTTGTGTCTGAGAGACCTGCTAGTCCCATATATGCAGGGAGTGGTTCTGCTTAGTCGTGTGGTTGTTTCAAAGGCCAGGCATCAATCGTATTCTTGAAAGCGTCCACGATAAGCTATACATTCGCTACGTGAGCCTGGCATACGAACATACCCAGTCCTTGTCACGCAGGATTGCTAATCTGATAGTGAACATGGGGTTCGCAAAGAACCGAAGTATTTGTATCACAGGCATGTTTAGAGGATCTGATGATAGTGTTTTGTCTCAATCGTCCATTCATCATCGATGACTACGAAGATAATCGAGAGAAAAGACTCGGATCTCCAGTGGTCTCAAAGCAATTGTTCCTTAAGATCTCAGATAAGACTCCCGTCAGTTTCTTGTGTGCATGCCATATCTTTCATCAGCTCAGCAACGTAGCCCTCCTATCCTTAAACATTGACAAATCGACACTGCTCAAGGGTCTTGCAGACGGGCTTGTGGGTTTTCCAAGCGGCCTTCTGGCACTCCTAGGGAACTATTAGAAAAAACGAAGGTGCCAACGTGGTTTGGAAACTTACGACGTTGCAGAACCAGGCTCTGCCACACTTGCCGCATTTCTTGGGCGCTTGTCCGATGTCCGCCTTGATCTTTCCGCACTGGAAGCAGCTACACACACGAATTAGAATGTTCCAAAGTAGTTCGTCCAGATGATGAACGCACCTGGGCTCGCCAAAGTCACGCGGGGTGCCCGCCTCATAGTGATCCAGCGCGGCGAGGAACTGGGCCTTTCCAACATGACGGAAGCCATCCTCAGCAATGGGCGACACGTAGCCTTGCCTGCCAGAGAAACCCTCAGCCAGCTCCCGCAGATGATCAAGATCGGCCTGCCGGATGCGGGCGCCAGCACGCATCATCAACGCACCAACGATGATGACCCGATACTTGCCCTGATCCTCGTGCTCAAGAGCACGGTGTGGTGAAAAGTTGGTCGCCCAGGCCCGTGTACAGCTTCTCGCGGGTTGACATGATGATTGCGTCCAACTCCTCGCGGTACTCAGAGGTCTTGTAGAATTCCCGGACTTCAGGAGGGGCCATCATGTCGGTCTGGTTAACCAGTCGCACCAGGTGAAGGTCATTGTCCTTCCCCGTTCCGTAGGGGCACTTGATTGCACAGGCAACGTCAATGTCGTTGTCGCCCTCGAAGACACCTGTCAGAATTGTCAGTATGGCAGCAAAACATCGAGAGAAAGACAGAAACTTATGATATCCCCAACGACCCATGGTGGATTCTTGGGACTGCTCTTTGCTTCGAGAGCAGGGTAGATATTGGTGTTGAGACGGGCAGGAAGCGGGTCGGAGGCTGCTCAGTGGTTTTGTCTTGGTAAGGAGAGCGTGGGGAGCAGGGAGCGGGAAGGATGCCCAGACACAGTTTCTGGGTAGAAGGAGAACGGAGACAACACCCGGGTATGAGTGAAGCTGGGGTGGATCGGGTTGAAGTTGGGTCGACCAGAATTATATTCAGCAGAGAGAACTTTTCATGTCAGGAAACTACCCCGCTGGAGCTCCTTCCGACTGCGTGTTGGAAGGAGGAACCGCTTGCCTCTTGCCTGCATTTCTCAAGTGTTGCCTGAGGTGGCTGCAGGTTCAGGGTCATGGAAGAAAGAGCTTCTCCAAGCACCTACCTGCCCATTGTCTGTGGCAGCCTCGACGTCCGCACCTCCCGGTTGCTGTTTGCCAGCCATGGCTTAACCCAATTGAAGGGGCAGATCGCCACCACACCTGCAGCAGGCCGGTGACCATGCAGGTTTCCATTCGTCGACACATACGATAAGTTGGTTTTGCAGGCGTCTCCGCTCGGTGCGTGTGCAGCACCAGTTTGGCAACAAACGCTCATGGCTTTACGATGCAGTTTGAAACGGTGTATGAAGCACATCGAAAGCCGAACTACCGCAGAACTGTTTGCTTAATCTTAGATCATCAGGACTGTCGAGGGGTCCGCAGGTCAACACATGAGTTACTTTGCGATGAAGTATTTTGATTCTCCAGTTCAGTCTATACTGCAAGTCGAAACAGAAGCTCCTTGACTTAATATGTGCAAGTCAGCCGTTCCACCACCGAGAAACACTTTTGATCAAACTCGTGCAGCCATGATCTCTCCGCAATCCAACTTATAGACGGGCAGGCTGACCTCGTGGTTTGTTCAGGGGTGCCTTGTCAACATGCTTGTTGCACCCTCTTGTTTGTAATCTCGACATTCATCCCCAAACGCCAATGGTATCTGTGAACCAACCTCCAACTTTGAAGCATGCGAGGCGCCGAAATAACTGTTCGTAGCTTATCTTCGGGGAGGAGGGTTGAAGCCAGGAGCTCCACCAGGGGGGCCGGGGTTGAAGCCCGGGGGAGGGAAGGGCGCGTTCTGAGGGAAACCCGGGGGCGGGAAACCGCCGGGGAAGCCTGGGGGAGGAGCTGCAATGTGTGAGAAGCTGGATCGAGGATTAAATCGTCTTGGGTACTCACCTCCACGTCCACCAAACGGCGGAGCACCAGGGAAACCAGGGAAGCCGGGGGGAGCGCCGCCTCCAACACCAGCAGCAGGGCCCTACGGTTCTGATTAGCAGCTTTCAACAGGAGCAGACTTTGGGAGTGTACATACGGCCAGAGAAGGGGGGACAGGGGCAGCACCTCTGCCAGCAGGTCTCGCGACACCAGGACCAGCAGCAAGAGTCGACGAGATTCCTCCCGGCGCACTCTTTCCAAGCCTGGCACTGGGGTCTGCGGGAGGCTCCGACTCAACGGACAGCGACACGATGTGGGCGCCACGGACGATGGTCAAACCGAGCGTGCGCTTCTCCTCCTTTTCGATCGTCTGGCTCGAGCCAGAGCTTCCAGGGGCAGCAGGCTTGTTTTGCCTGATCTTGACGCGTCGGAACTCCTCAGTATCGGCGAGAACGAGGTTCATGTGCTACAGACACTGTCAGCGACGTCATTGACACGCGATTTAGGGGCCTGGGAGTGCACACCTTGTCGAAAGCAAGCATCTGTCCGGTCATCTGGCGGCCATCGTTGAGAGTGACTCTCATCCGGTAGTTGATCTATGAATATGAAGCATGTTAGCGAGTGCGGTGCGAGGTCGAGCCGTCAGCAGCTGAGAAAATCGAGGATCGATACGTACGTAACCGGCCTAGAGAGATCATATCGTGTCAGCCTGTATTGTCAACCTTGAAGCTTTGGAAAAGAAGGTGAGGAGCTACTAACCATCTTGCCCTGTTTGTTCGACATCTTGGCTGATGTGTGTTTGAGATGCTACTTGCGCAGCTTCTCGAGATCTTTCAAAAAATTGATCTTGTTTTGTAGCGAAGCCTGGGAGACTTCGACGCGACCTTGGATGCTTGCGGTTGGCAGAGCTTCTGGCAAGGTCAGAGTGGGTATGCCCGTTCCATCGACAAATTTCGGTGGAGGAGGCTGCGGAAGGCTGAACTGAGGCCAATGCCACTCGGGTAAACCCCGGCGGTGGATTGCGCCCGGAATGCGCTAGTCCTGCTTTGGGCGTTCGCGGCTCGGGTGGGGTCGTCGCCAACCGTGCCCCCAGGGCTGCAAAAACCCATCCCACAAACTACCCAAGTCTATCTTTTTTTTCGATTTTCCTTTTCGACATCCCGCGATAACGACTCATCACCACGCCAAACCGTCGTCGACGTACTAACCGCCAAAATGTCCGAGAAGGCCCAGAACCCCATGCGCGAGCTGCACATTCGCAAGCTCGTGCTCAACATTTCCGGTACGCTCCAGGCAATGCCTCGTTTCCCGATGAACTTTTGCTAATATTGAATTTCACAGTCGGCGAGTCTGGTGACAGACTTACCCGTGCCGCCAAGGTTTTGGAGCAGCTTTCCGGTCAGACTCCTGTCTACAGTAAGTTCTTACGAAGTCCTTTATCGAATGCGACAATTGACTGACCCATTCCACAGGCAAGGCCCGTTACACCGTCCGTACCTTCGGTATCCGCCGTAACGAAAAGATTGCTGTCCACGTCACCGTCCGTGGCCCCAAGGTACGATTTCGAACACGGAGAAACTGCAGATGTGAGGAATCAGGAGACTGACTTGATGCAGGCTGAGGAGATTCTTGAGCGTGGCCTCAAGGTCAAGGAGTACGAGCTGCGCAAGCGCAACTTCTCCGAGACTGGCAACTTCGGCTTCGGTATCAGCGAGCACATCGATCTTGGTATCAAGTACGACCCCTCCATCGGTATCTACGGCATGGACTTCTACGTCTGCATGACCCGCAAGGGTGAGCGCGTCGCCACCCGCCGCCGCTGCAAGGGCCGCATCGGCTCTGGCCACAAGATCAAGCGCGAGGAGACCGTCAAGTGGTTCAAGCAGCGCTTCGACGGCATTGTCCGATAAATGCTCTAACCACTTCTTTCTGCAACGATCAAAAAAAGTACCTCGGGACGGCTTGGGTTTACGGATATTGGCGAAAACGGGACATGGAACAAAAGGCATGTACTTTCCAGCAGTTGTTATCGTCAGACAACAAAGCTTGACTTGAGGAAAATTCAGTCTTGCTGCGGCCTCAGAGACCGACCGGCGCCCATGCCGGCTTATCAACATCGTCTTTTTGAAGTGATGACAATGCGTAGTATACCCTCTTAGTGATGACAAGCTGTGGAAGCAGCTTCTGGCGTTGGTGGTTTAGCTAGTTTGCCCATAGCTCAATAAAGCTAGTCGATTCCTTGCATTATCAGATCTTCGCAAGCGACTGCCAGTGAATGTTGTGGGGATGTCAAACCAACACAGAAATGACGGCAACCGACCCCATGCTTTGCTTGCGCGACGGGAAAATATTATCGCGTGCCGATGCTGGGCATGTTTTTGAGGTGATGGCGGGCCGTTACGGCAGGCAGAATGATGCGCAGGTTGTTCGGTTTTCTGCATTCCTCCGAAGCGGTCAGGCTCGGTGTTCCCGGCCGGCCGGAGACACGTCCCACAGCGGATGCATGGCTATTGACCTCCAGGTTCTCAACGAGTGCACGCGAAAGCATCGCTCAAGGGAGGGTGACGAGAGGTTGGGTGGGAATGCCACAGTGGAGAGCTTCGCCTGCGAGGCCGGGGAAGGAGGGGAGTGACCGGGAAGCTAGACTAACGACATAGCATGCATGCAGATTTATAAGATGAATGCTGGCACCATGAAGCCATCTCGACATGGAAGGTTAGATGTTGGTTGACCGGGGCCATTTGAGCTCGGGGACCGAGCAGACATCGCAATTGGACCTTGTCGCAAACTCAATGGGCAGTGGGCAACGGGCACGATCGCGCGCTGGAAAGCCAGATTGACACATTTTTTTCGGTTGGGATGAGATCCATCAGCAATCTCTTCCGGGGGGCTTCAGCACTGAAAGGCGGGCGCTTCAGCGCTGGTTGTCTTATGTAATCGACGCTCTCAAGGCGTTTTAAGGCATTTCACGGGGTTACGGGGCTACGTGCTGTTCGTCGGAAATTGTTAGGGTGATCTCGGGTTGGACTGAGGCAAAACTCGACGGGCCGCCGTGATTGGCCCGACAGCACAGCTCCGGGTCCACCCATTCCTCACTCTCTTTTCCCTCCACTGGGCCTCTTCCAAAAAAGACTCGATTTGCACTCCTTCAAAGGCACCTTCATCAACCCCAATCTCCCCTCCACTCAATTGCATCCGTTGCAATTGATTCTCCTTCGATCTAGACAGTGTCAAAGATCTCCTAATATGTTCCGCAACGCCCTCCGCCAGTCGACGCGCGCTGTCGGCGCCGTCTCTGCCGCTGGCAGAGTCGCTGCCGTAAGTCCAACCCACCCTCAACAATCCGTCAACCTCCCCATCCCCGAAACGACGTCAATGCCATCCAAAAACATCATCAATCGGTTCCGCCATGTCCAATTATACCCCGGCGAGCTTTTTTGGCGCCGCGGAACGCATGGTTGTGTTGTGGAAGAGCTTTTCATCAAGCTCCCTTGGCCCTGCGTCTTGTTTTTGGGGGGGAAGCCCATAACATTTTCGGGCTTCGGCTAACCTGTTTTTCACCCTCAGGCCCGAAATGCCGCACCCGCCGTCTTCAACGCCACGTCGATGCAGACCCGTTCATACGCCGATGCTAAGGCTTCCCCGACCGAGGTTTCTTCTATCCTCGAGCAGAGAATTCGTGGTGTCCAGGAGGAGGCTGGTCTCGCCGAGACCGGCCGCGTCCTTTCCGTCGGGTACGTTTAGGCGGCACATCTCGGCATCGCGAGCACCCATCGGAAAAGCTTCAATGCATCATCAGCTTGCACGAGGACTCGCGTGTCAACATCGCCGGCGCAGGGAAAAAAGTTTTTTGTTGCTGACGACAATTGGAAAACAGTGATGGTATCGCCCGTGTTCACGGTATGGCCAACGTCCAGGCTGAGGAGCTTGTCGAGTATGTTTAGCGCCCTTTATGCGCCTTCCGGTATCCCCGCGTCTAACGGCTGTACAGGTTCGCCTCTGGCGTCAAGGGCATGTGCATGAACCTCGAGGCCGGCCAGGTCGGTGTTGTGCTCTTCGGTTCTGACCGTCTGGTCAAGGAGGGCGAGACCGTCAAGCGTACCGGAGAGATTGTGAGTCGGACCACTTCTTGCCGCCGATCCGGACGGCAACTAATCATGAACCATAGGTCGACGTTCCCGTCGGTCCCGAGCTGCTCGGCCGTGTCGTCGACGCCCTCGGTAACCCCATTGACGGCAAGGGCCCCCTCAACGCCAAGGAGAAGCGCCGTGCTCAGCTCAAGGCCCCCGGCATTCTGCCCCGCAAGTCCGTCAACCAGCCGGTCCAGACTGGTCTCAAGTCCATCGACGCCATGGTTCCCATCGGCCGTGGTCAGCGTGAGTTGATCATTGGTGACCGTCAGACCGGAAAGACTGCCGTCGCCCTCGACGCCATGCTCAACCAGAAGCGCTGGAACTCCTCCAACGACGAGACCAAGAAGCTCTACTGCGTCTACGTCGCCGTCGGCCAGAAGCGTTCCACCGTTGCCCAGCTCGTCAAGACCCTCGAGGAGAACGACGCCATGAAGTACTCCATCGTCGTTGCCGCCACTGCCTCTGAGGCCGCTCCCCTGCAGTACATCGCTCCTTTCACTGGTGGTAAGTACATCCCGCCGCACCTGCCATTCTGGCACCCACCGTCATTGCCCTTGCCCCCTTCGTACCTTTCGCCCTCGTCGCCCCTGCCGTCATTGTCGCCGTCCCCCACCACTGTCTTGCATCCTCGTCCCCCACCATCGTTTCTGTCCCCGCTGGTCCCGGCCCCACTCTACCGGCCCCGTCCCGTCCCCGTCCCGGGTCCGTCCATCATCACCCATCAACATCATCAACATTCAAAAACAACACAACAAGATGATCTTTTGCTAATCAAACAACTTCAGCGAGCATTGGAGAGTGGTTCCGCGATAATGGAAAGCACTCCCTGATCATCTACGACGATCTTTCCAAGCAGGCCGTCGCTTACCGCCAGATGTCTCTGCTGCTCCGTCGTCCCCCCGGACGTGAGGCTTACCCCGGTGACGTTTTCTACCTGCACTCCCGTCTTCTGGAGCGTGCCGCCAAGATGAACGACAAGCTCGGCGGTGGTTCCATGACTGCCCTGCCCGTCATTGAGACCCAGGGTGGTGACGTGTCTGCCTACATTCCCACCAACGTCATTTCCATTACCGACGGTCAGATCTTCTTGGAGTCTGAGCTCTTCTACAAGGGTGTCCGTCCCGCCATTAACGTCGGTCTTTCCGTCTCTCGTGTCGGTTCCGCCGCCCAGCTTAAGGCCATGAAGCAAGTCGCTGGTTCCCTGAAGCTCTTCTTGGCCCAGTACCGTGAGGTCGCTGCCTTCGCCCAGTTCGGTTCCGATCTTGATGCCTCCACCAAGCAGACCCTCAGCAGAGGTGAACGCGTAAGTTGTAAACTGATACCCATGAATTGATCATTGAGCTGACACATCTACAGTTGACCGAGCTCCTCAAGCAGAAGCAGTACTCCCCCATGGCTGTCAACGAGATGGTTCCCCTCATCTTCGCCGGTGTCAACGGTCACCTTGACAACGTCCCCGTCGGCAAGATTCTCCAGTGGGAGGCCGACTTCCTTGCCCACCTCAAGACCAACGAGTCTGACCTCCTCGCCACCATCGACAAGGAGGGTGCCCTCAGCAAGGACCTTGAGGCCCGCCTCAAGGAGGTCATCACCAACTTCACCAAGAGTTTCCTGGGCTAAATTTAAGTCTCGCCTGACATAATAAATGGTCCGACTGGGAGCGCAGGGGGGTTGATGTAGCTGTCTATACCGAAGTTTTTTGTTCCTCTAGAGGCGTGAGGAAATCTCGAGGGTTTGCGCCGGTCCGAGGGAAGCACCAGGGGACGCGATCTGGGGGAAGGATCTCCAGTCGAACCACTTGTAAAATAGAGCTCAAGACTCAATTAACGCCCTCGATTCCTTTTGTCCTTCAATATCATGACCCTCAAATCTAAAGTCGTAAATGTTTGAAAGAGATTGAAATAGTGCGGCGAGAATCGGTACCCATCCACGTCGGAATGATCTTAGCTCAATCTGTGACTGCCTTGCCTTTCACGTCCACCTACCTAGCTAAGGCGGGTACGCATGACACCTTCCTTTTCTGCAACTGACTTCATCTTTTGTGTGACCGACACTGTTGAACGGGATACTCTTTCCCACTGAGGCGCCTGCCGTACTTCCCAATGCCGGTGCTGGGCAGATCTAATATGGGCCAGGTGCTCTTTCTCAATAAGGGAGGTACTTCGTTCGCACATGGAGACTTCCTCCGAAGTCTTCCTTCCATCTATGGTGAGCTCTTTCCTACACCTGACGTGCTTTCTCTCTCTAGAGCAGCACTTACCCAGTGCCGAGCAAGTGCTTCCCTTGCCGCATTCGGAGAGATAAAGGCTTTTCTTGTTGTCTTTGCGCTGTCTTGTTTCTCCTCAGACATCATCGCCATGAGGCATAGCTCGCTCCAGGTGTCCTCCCTACGATCAACGGCACGACGACCGCCAGCAGTTCGCCTTCCCTCAGCCATTCTCCTTGGTCTACACGAGGGCTCCCAGAAGTCTTCCTCTTATCAGAAGATTGAGACGACCACCAGAAGCACTTCATCCACCCTCAGTGGTGACCTTGGATCGAAACGGACATCGGACAAAAGTCTCTTCTCTCCCCCATGCGAGGTGAGAAAGACCTAGCTAAACATTCTGGGTGCTTCTCCTAATGATTGCAGTTGAGCTTTACCCTGTCATACCTGAGAGGACTTTGGGCCACACCGAAGTCACCATGGCATCCCCTCTGGTTGATCCCAGTTCTTTCCTCTTCGTCCCCCGTTATCGTCCCCGTTGTCGTCCCTCATGTCGTCCATACCATTCCGACCATGGGCTCGACTCGCCTGGCCTCAGTCGTCTCCGCTTTCTCCCACCGGGCTCAGGACGACTAGCATCAGCCCACCCAAGCAACATGGAGGATCTTGAAGAGTTTCGTGAGATCGTAGACGGTCTGACGTACTGCGCGGTCACGCCCCATGCGCCCGAGTGGTATTTGAACCCCGTGTTCATGACTATTCTGGGTGCAGAGGACGGCGTTTTCGAATCTCTATGCGACGACCACCCTCTCTTCTTCGCCGACCACTTCCTCCGCGTCCTCAAGGACGATGAGCCCCCTTCTCTCGACTTTTTCCGCCTCCTGTCTTCTCCGGCCCGCGGCGACAAGCCTATTTGGGGGTGTTTACTCTCTTGTTTTAGAGAAGGTTGGCTGCCCGGCTATGCTTTATGTTGGGTCTGGAACCGACGCAATCTTGGGCGTGTATAGCCGCCTGAAGGCTTACGAAAGGGTCGATGGCAGCAACATCCCACAGCTTGTCCGTCAGGCCATCAAGGATGGCTACACTATCAGTTCTTCAGGGCTACTTTGCTGGCACAATATGCCGTCGGCCGCCCACGTTCCCCGCGCCTAAATTCGACTCGTCGTCGTCGTCTGTCGCCGTCGTTGTCTGTCGTCGTTGTCTATCGTCGTCGTCTCTGTCGTCGTCTCTGTCGTCCTGCCGTCTGCCGCCCACGTCCCCCGCGCCCGAGTCCGACTTGTTGCTGTTGAAGCCGTGTTGACGTTCGTGTTTTTCGCTGGCCGGGCTTGCAAGATGGGTGTTTCGTGGGAGGATATGTTGCCCTGGCGCTGAGAGCAAGCAACTTGGGAGCCGCTGTGCACCCACACGGCATTCGTGGAGAAGCCTCCCGGCGACGTTAATATGTCGAGCAAGCAGCTGGAGGCTTACAACGCCGCTCGTGTCGCCCGGGCCAAGCAGAACATAGCCAAGAGCAGCAAGGCATACGAAGATCGAGAGAAGACTGTTAGTTTAGCAGCATATCGCCTCAAAAGCTGAAGGAGAAGCTCGCGTAGGAGAAGAAAAATCCTGAGAACATTCGGATGTACTCTGCTGGCACGATCTCCCGTCGGCCGCCTAAGTTCCCTAGGCTAGGATTAGATTGGTCGCCGTTTCTGTCGCTACCTCTGTTATTATCTATCGTCGTCTCTATCGTCGTCTCTATCGTCGTCCCTATCCTCTATCGTCGTCTCTATCCTCTATCGTCGTCTCTGTCGTCGTCTCTGTCGTCGTCTCCGCCATTTCGTTAGTTAAGGCCGTTATAGCGTTCGATTCCTTCGCTGAGAGGATTTGCCAAACGGAGGTGCTGTGGGACAATATGTTCGCAGCAGCGCATACACAGCTTTCCTACATATGGTGTGCACTTTCTGCGAGCACCCTAGCATGGAATATCAATCACATTTTCAAAAGCTACTTCGCTCCTAATATTAAAACTTTCGAAGCTATCTGTGGGCAGCATCCGCTCAAGTTCGCCGATAACATGTACGAGGTTTTGATGGCCAAACGCCCACCCACTCTCGACTTCTTCCGTACACTCCCCAAACCCAACAAGAGCAATCCGGTTTGGGGCGTCTACACAATCCTTATGGAGAAGGCCAATCACCCAGCGAAGCTTTACGTCGGGTCAGGAACCAATGCCGACCACGGTGTTGTGACTCGGCTACGCGATTACAAGAGGGAGACACTCCTTCCCCAACTTGTCCTCAAAGCCCTCCAAGAGGGATACTCTATCAGCCATGCCGGGTTGTTGTGCTGGTATGCGATGCCCAAGCCTGGCCAAGCCCCTATTGCACGGCTGAGGGTCATCACAGTTAAGGCCACGATGGCCTTCGTGTTCTTCGCCGGCAGACCCTGCAAGATGGACGTTCTCTGGGACGACATGCTCCCATGGACAAGAGACGGGGTTTCTTGGCAACCTCTTTGCACGCACACGGCTTTCTTGCAGAAGCCGCCTGGTGATTTAGACATGTCAGAAGAAGAGTTGGAGTCCTACAACACCCAGCGCCGCGAGAGGGCTTTGGTGCAAATGAAGATAAACTCGAGGGAGTACGAAGACGGAGAGAAAGCCGTCAGCCTGGGGGCATACCGCGGACTAAGATGCAGCTCACTTGAACATGTGCCCTGTCGTAGGTGCTTATTGAGTTGGTTCATTTGTAAAACTGCAATAGAGGATTACAAATCCAGAACACTTCGCTGGCTTTCAGGCTCCCTTTCCCAGGTGGAAATCCTCAGAATTTCCAGTTTAAACAAAAGCACAAACGCAGAACCAAAGAATGTTAGCCGGTGCCTCTGGTGAAGAGAATTTGCTGAGGTGTGATGGGAACGATGTCAAGTAGGTTGTCCCCGAGAGAGCCTCGTATTCACTCTACCTCAATTGAAAGGCAAGACCAGTTGGGGGCACTTCTTTGCTACTTCCCAAACTGTCAAAAATTTGGCAGCCTGCAGGTGTTATTTCACCTTTGTCTCTCTCCACTCGCCCGCCCGTCCACCGCCGCAAGCTGTTTTTCTACTCACATTGAGGCAACCTAGCCCATTCGAGATTTTCGCTTCTTCCATTTCGCAACACCACCACAACCACCTGAAAATTGAGCTTCCTGCATGTCACTTGCTCCATTGCGCTGCCTTCATTGCTTCCTGGACGACAGAGACGCTTTTCGTGTCGCCCAAAACGATCTGGGAGAACTTTCCTTTCTTCTGAGCCTACCTACATAGTGCTCTAGAAATTCTTGCGCATTTGCTCTGAGATCAAGGCGAGGTAAGAGACCTAATTATTTTTCTCGTTATCATGTCGTCTGACGCCCTCCTCAGGTCACTTTCACGACGGACGACTTGTCGACCTCCTACCAGCCCGCCGGAAAAGGCGATGGCAAGATCACCGGCAGCAGCAGCAAGAGCGACGCCAGCGACAGGGCGTCTGCCATCTTGCCGACGAACAAAGACGTTGTCCTTCGCCAGTTGAGGCAGATGATGAACGCAATCGATTCAGCTCCGACGCAGCAGGAAGCGCAAAGTGCCGCGGAAAAGCTCAAGAACTATGTGATTCGTTTGGGATAGGACAACCCTCTCTTCGAAAGCAACCGGCACGTCTACAAGCTCCTGTTTGAGAAGGAGGTCATCTCCATGGAGCATGCAGAGTTAGCGCTGCATGAAATAAAGGTAACAATCTCCCTCAAGACTCCAAATGACTTGCTAATAAAGCCCTGTTATTCTAGACTCTCTGGCCTCGGACCTTCCGTCACCCCAATGCGGCAATCATCAACGCGGAATTCCTCCAACAGTTGTCGACCCTGTTGGTCAGCTCTCCAGAGGATATGTCAATCCGCTTCAACCAGCTTGGAGGAGTTCTCTGGGTTCTTGCGCAGAATTTGCCAAGAGCAGCCATGCCGACGAGCCAAGACCTCCGAACAGCGATGTACTTTGTACGCGAATTGGGCTTCCGAGGATGGGAGCCGGCTAGCAGCTATACCCGGTCAGAGTCCCAGTCCCGCACTTCAACCGAATGGATGGAGTACGACAACAATGAGATTGACAGAATGCTCGATACGTTCAAGAGGGTGATGGCCCATCTTACTTCCAGGGTGGCAGCTACGAACAATGGCAAAACAAGGATGCCGCCCGCGCCAGACTTCAACGTCCTCGGAAAACTAGCAGATACGATCGATTATGATCAAGCCGCACTCATTACGGAGGAAGCCTACTCGCACGTAGTAGCCCTGGTGGGCGACCTTTTCAATGCTGTCTTTGAAGAGCCTCTCAAAATGATGAAGACCAACCACCAGATTTTCCTTGACGAACATGCCACCAACGACAACGACCGAGCGAGCGACCGAACGGATGACAGAATGAACAGCGCTTTATTCGTCAACGACGATATCTACAACCCCTAGATGGGCGACCCTGCCGAGACAAGAGAGTTGGATGTTGCCAGTGTTCGGGGGTGAGGTTCAGTTGTGTTATCGTATGACGGCGGTTCGGTCTACCCCAGGCTTTTTGAGGGAGGCTTCCCAGTGGGTTCGTTACGGCACGAACGAGGTTTTGAAGTTCCGGGGCAGTCTGATGAGTAAATCAAGATGGCGATCGGCCCATTCTTCGACCATCGAGGAAAGGCTCTCGTCGAAGATTGCTTATAGTTGCCAAGAGATAGCGAAAAACAGAGATTAAATATCATGAAGTGACTTGCGCACTCGACGCCTCTTCTTTGAGTGCTTGTTTATTCATGTCACTCTGACTTCACAGTGAGAAACGTTATGAGGCCTGCAATGCCCGCTTCGTGTGAAGCAGAAGCATCTTTTGCATATGAGTGACGTTCAGGAGAATGAATGCTATTGTGCCCTCGAGACAGGAAATGCTATGGCCATTTATCATCGGCGTTAGATGGTAGGACACCACTCTAGCAGAAAGGTCATGAGCCAAATGTGTAGGCATGTGTTTTTCTCACTCTAGATCGTGAGGGGCATTTCGATGTACTTCCCTGAGATGGCATGAGGTTTGCGTCTAAGACATTTCAAGATGCCCCCGCCGGGTGAAGGCAGGCAGGCAGGTACAGTGCACAAGACAGTAAGGCACCAAGCTAGGTACGTATCTGAGTCCCTACCTAAGGTTATTCCTCTGCCTGGCCGAAGTCTTCCAAAAGGGGGGGGGGGGGGGGGACATCAAACCTCCACGCTTCACGCTCAGGAGAGCCTTTCCGCGTTCCTTCCCAGTTCAACCACAAGGCGAGACTCTTGACCCACCACGAAGATCCTTCGGCGCGCCAACGTATTTTTGGGAGCACTTTTGCTCTAAGTCGGGCCGCCCGTACGCGACCCTCATTTACCCAGATCTTTGCGCCTCCTGGTCTGTTCGTCAAAAAAGCGTTCACTTCATCTAAGGTATTGATCGACTTTAAGGTCAGCATCTCTCTTCATTTTGAAGTTCAAATTTAACACAGCCCCAAGATCCTCACTCCATGGTCCCGTGTTTCCTGGTATCGAGCCAAATACACTCATACCGACCCGGTACTCGCCAAGAAATTCACCAATATCATCACAATTTCGGGCCGAACCCTAATGATGCCACGCAAGAAGCAAACGGTCGTTCTGAAGGACGAATGTCTGGAGCAAATTGCCCAAGAAGCCACGAAAACGAGCGAGAGAGAGCAATGACACAGCCAGAAGGAGAGCCTACCGGGCGCTCCTCGACTCCCACGCCCCTTTGAGAAGAGTTCACGGAGACCACCCACCCGGGCTGGAGACTAAGCTTCTAGAAGCCAGAGCCAAAGTCGATAGCATATTGTCGCTAGCACAGCCAGGCGATAAAGAATTCAAGAAGCTCGTCGAAAAACTGATTTCAACGCCTTCGAAGATCTATGAGGCGTTTACCAACAGAGAGGAGGGTGTAATGCTGGGGCCCGATGGAGGTTGACAATGAACAGCCTTACATGAGCATTGACCTCAAAGAGTCAGACTTGAAAGAGGTTGTTCAGCAGTTCTTGTCAGGATGGCATAAAGGATCCTGATAAAGCGGGTGAACTGGTGCAAGAGACGAATGTTGAAAATGGTCTCATCCACATCAATCTGGTATCAGTGAGTAGTATGTTCTCGCAAATTCGCTTTCGATTACTGACTATGCATAGATGATTGTTCATAAAAGGTCGCGGGCCCTTGAACCAGAAACCCTGCTCATCTAGAGAGGTCATCGATCATCGCCTACTACCGGGTTTCAGGATCTGTTACAGTTGCCCGCCTTCTATCTCGTCTTCATGTTATTTACGAAGATTTGACCTGTTACCCCCCCTCCCCCCCCTCGGGGGCGCCTTCTAACATGCCAAAGTCAGAAATGAATTGGTGCTGGGGTGGCGCGCCTTTGCATCGCCGACCCTATGGGTTATGGCAAAACACTCACCACGATCATGACTGCGATGAGAGCGAAGGGGATGCCTTACCAAGGCCCCGTATGGATTGTAGTGCCGAAAACGCTAGTTACTCACTGGGAGGAACAGTCTTCGTGCTTCGAGGAGGTATGTGAGGCAAACATGTGATCGAACGAAAGTTACTGACAGTGATTCTGTAGGTGGACCGCCCGTCGGTGTTTGTTTTGACAGACAAGGACATGTCAGCGCGCGAGCTGGCTGAGGCCAAAGCTGATTTCATTATCATCACTCCGCAGTACCTGAGCGCCCGGTATCTGGAATGGCAAGACGCCAGTCAACAAGCCCGATCCGGTCTACATATCCTCGGCAGACCAGTAGCCCGAAGACAAACGTCGTCCAGGTTATGGCAGACGAACTGTGTCTTCGACATCGAATGTTGGACATCCCTGGGCCTTCACTTTCCTTTCGCCATCTTCGACGAGGTACACGGAGCGAAGAATCCCAATGCGATCATCAACAGGGCATCTGCGGCGCTCGACGCCAGGGCGAAACTTCTGGTCAGTGGAACTCCTATGAAAAACAGAGTCTTCGATGCCTTTGGGATTCTCAAGATTCTGCCCGGATGCCCCTTCGCGACGGAGAATGCGTTTTTGCGAGTCCTCAGTGTCAACCCAAAGGCGCGAGGGCCGCCGAAATTGCGCCTGAGAAGACTTGCCCAAATTCTCGACGCATGCACGATCGCCCGCCCTCACGGGGCCCTGAATCTTTCCGACCTCGTCGATCACATAGTCGAGTCCGAACTCTTAGACGAAACGGTCCTCGACATCGCCATGGTCGCTCACCAATTCCACCGTCTCGCGGCAATCTCTGGAGGAGGCCGTCGGCGAAGACCCCAGAATACGGGACATGGCGCCGCCCTTTCTTACGCTACCCGCGCAAGACTGATGGCGACTTCCTCTATCTTCAACCGTCCGAGCCCAATCCAGGAAAGGGACACAAGGTTGACAAGGGAGAGGTTTGGAGAACGGTGCACCGAGCACGGATACGACCAGTTCACAATCGCGCGCAACCCGCAGCTGCTACGTGAGTTTGCGCAATCCGTACACAGGAAGAAGTGAGATGAGCGCGAGGAGGATCCAGACTGGGACCCAGAGGTCGGAGACGTCGACGAGGAAGATGAAGTCATCGGTCGCGACGATGCAAACCTTAACGACAACCCACGTCGTGCAAGAAACCGGCAACTTTGGCTCTCGCATCTCGATACGGAGTGGGAGAAGGAACTTGATCGGTTCGTGAACCGTAAGAGTCCCCGGCTGCAGGCCATTCAGAATATCGTGGAGCAAATCGAAGAGATGGAAATCGACGAATCGAGCAACGAAGTTGATCCAGATATCAGGATCGTGATATTTTCCGAGTGGGTGCACGAACTGGACCTTATTGAAAGGTTCCTCGGGTGGCAATTCGAATGGGACTTCAAAGTGTTACGTTTCGATGGTACGCGTTCGCCTGAAGAACGGGAGGATGTGCGACGCAGATTTCAACAACAAAAGGAACGCTCTATCCTTCTTGCCATAGTGGGCGTAGGAGGCCAAGGCATCAGCCTTACGACATGCCACCACGTCGTCCTCATCCAATTTCTTTGGACCTTAGCGGAAGAGAGACAGGCAATCGCTCGCTGTCAGTGGCAACGTCAGGCACAAAAGGTGCACGTATGGAGGCTGCATGTTCGCGTCCTCCGATTCATAATGATAGTTGGCCATAACAATAAGAAGGGCACCTTCATAGATCCAATGGCTAGAAACTTCTCATGTTCCGTCTGCTTGCTGATGGCCGAACGCGGACAGTGAGTATCACACATCTATCCCTTCTAATACCTACGTCGGCAGTGTGAACATTTTGTGCCTGTACGAGAATCCGGCAAGCCACCTTCGGGTACTGCACGATTCAAGTCGCCTGAGCCAGTCTCCGCACTCTCGTCCTATTCCCAAGGAACGAACGCCCGGACTGTGCAATGAGCCCCATCGTCTACATTCTTCCATCCCTAATGCGTGACGCAGCTTGATTGACGTGGCTACGAATGCAGACGGGGTATCAAGGCTCAGGACGGGATTCGGGCCGCAGGGCTGATTTCCTGCGTCTTGCACCCACCCCCCCCGGTGTGCAACGTTCCCTGGACCTATTCATTACTCCTATCGAAAGTGGTAGTAATAATAGTGGCGATGAGGACGATAATAACGATAATAATAGAAGTTACAATGAGGATAGAAGACGGCGATAACGAAGACGACAATGACGAAGACGACAATGACGAAGACGAAGACGAAGACGACAATGACGATAAAGTGATTAGAGTATCACAGGAAAAGTTGTCGCTCTAGCACAGGAAAAATAGGAGGTCTCTATTCTTAGAGGGCAGGAGGGCTTCTGAGGGTAGGCGTGAGGGTTGTTACTGTAAATCGACACATGCAAAATTCCTTCATGAGCATCATTCCAAGGACGCAAAATGACAGCTCACTCCTCACCGGCGAAAAGTTATTCGCGCCGACTGTTTGGGAAGTGGAATAACTAGAATAAATTCAGACTTACGAAAAAAAAGGGAAACGAGCTGCCGCAGCAGGGTAAGACTTCGCAGCAGGTGAAAGCTCCGAAGCAGGGCAAAACTCAGGGACGGTAGTTGATTGTGATGTATGTGGAGAGAAGAGAAGCTATCGACACTTCAGTACCAAGTCCACAGTCTCTGACATAACTTGGTGTCTATGTTTGGGTTGAGGTTACGGAGTGTGGCCCGCTTTCCCTTTCTCGGCAGCCTTCTGGATGGCTTCGCTTTCTTCGGGCCTGTTGTTGGACCCTTGCAGTGCAGAAGCAGGGGTAATGAACGTGGTCCTTTCGATGACATAAGCGGCAGGGCCTTAATTTAACTCTTCCAGACTCGGCATTGTTTCTCTTAAACCCTGGTTTCAATCAGCACCGAACGACTTGCTATTCGACACACCCCTTCCGACCTCTGCCGCGTGGGGAGAAGGACTCTTCGACCACCCCAGGACCAAGGACCTTATTAGACGACTACTCAAATCAGTGCGGGGAAAACCAGCGCGAGATCCCAAAACTGGGCGATTCATATCCACCTTAAAAAGAACACGCTCGACGTCGAAAACTCGCGACAACTGTGAAATCCAGTACAGCGGCAGGCCCCGCCCCGCCCCGCCAGGCGCACCTGCTGTGTGAAACGCACCTTTGCAAAGGCCCGGGGTACTTCCCGCGGGTTTGGTAGCGCCTGCAGACTTGCGCCTGCCTCGCGAATCAACCCGCAAAAGCTACTCACACGGACAGATGCCAGCCCAGCTTCTAATCTAACTACCTACCTCTACCTTATGGCTACTGAGACTGCTGTGAAGTCGACCCTTCCCGTTGCAGCGAAAAAGTCATACCCGCTGGGTTATCTGAGAGGCATTACTCCTGCATGGTACGCAAACCGTCCCCCCAACCTTCCCACAGCACACAAAATCTCGAAGACCCCCAAGACATCGCGAGCGCTCGATCTCCCCCTCTAACTTCAACTAGGTAAGGTACATCGACCTCCGCGTTAGGGTCCTGCACACAGATCCGTCCCACCTAATTCGCTGTTGTTTTCTCCACAGACTACGACAGCGCCCATCAACATCAGCTCTGATTCCTCGTCAAACTGACCTCTCAAACGACTCCATCCTAGTCACTGTTATTACACAGTTGCCCACAAGGATGTCCGGCAATAATGGATGGCACTTCTGCCCCCAGTGGAAGCCGAGATGGTCTTGCTGCCGCTAGAGAGAGTCCTCGCATCGCTCCCATGCTAGCCCAGCTACGCAGTCCAGGTCCGACACACAGAGTTCCAAACAGCAAGGCCAACCCGACGATGCTCCAATAGTTCCAGCGGTCCAGACCTGTGACTTTGCGTCAAGAAGCCGGTCCCTATCAGTGCTCAGTCACACCCGAGCACCACTCATCCTGTAGCGGATCGGGAGAAGAGCGTCGCCGTCGAAATCACGCGTTCGCGACACCGCCACGACAGTCCTTTGGCGTACGATACGACAATCGATGCAGAGCATCACGCAACATTTCACTGGAGAAGCTGAAACAGGAAACCTTTGCATACGACAGTTCAAAGATGACGATCTCTTCCTTTACCCACAACATCGAGTTTATGGCTGTATTTCATGGCGATGAGACAGTTGCGCGCACACTCGGTCATGGGATCCTGTCTTCCTATCGCAAGAACGACCGCTATGAAGACCGAGACGGAGATCACAAGACGCAACCAATGGCCATGGCCTACCACACATCCGCTCGATCCCCGCAACGACGAAGTCCTTAAATCTCGCCTGACAGAGCTCTCTCTCCCCCTCCCGTTCGTTCGCCCAGACTTTAGCGCTCCATCTCCACATCTTCCCTCCCTTCAGCCCCGACTCAGCGTCTTGAGACTCCGACGACGACCGACGAGCTGGACACGATTCGCCAAAGACCGCCCGCGCATCCATCATTATCAAAGCAGAGGCTTGCGACGGTAAAATCGATACCCACGACGGCGGCAAAGCTCTCAAGATCAAATTGTTATCCTCGAAGATCAGGAAGCGCAAACCGCAAAGGACGGGCGGTAAAGAACAACGGGCTCAATACATACTACGCCGTCGCTCGAGGTACAACCTCCCCAGTCACTAAAGACTGTCAAGCTTGAATCCTTCATCGAGGAAATTTCCCCAAAAAACAGTGTTCCGCAGGTGGAGGACAACAAAACGGGCGTACCTGCCTCGGCTGAACCCGACTCAGGACCCACCAACCTCACATTGGACGAGGCCATTGCCTATATCAAATACAACAACCAACCTTTTCCCTCTTACGCCGATACATCACGCCCTGCCTGCGTTTCGAACGGGACATCCTGCGAAGTCCACATACACTGACATCTTCGCTCATCATACACACTTTCAATGGACCTCCATGCACGGCATTCCCAGACACGTGTTCAGCTCCCTCCTTTACCCAAAAAGACATGCCGAAAACTTTTTTCCAGACGCGGAATCCAACGGTGCGAGCCTTCCCAGCTTAGTGGTCTTGGCGAAGGCGGCCCGCAAATCACTTCTTACGTTGTTCTCCCCATCTCTCTTCAAGGTTAACACGGCTTAATGTTCTGCATCACTATTCAACATCGCCTAGGCCGCAAGCACACAAACGCATACGCTCTATCACGTCTCCCTATCAGCGAGCCGTTGCCCTACTAGCATCACGAAAGGTGAAGACAGCTACGTTTAAGTCACGCAATCTGCCACAACCGAGATGCGGCTGGCCAGTTCATCGAAGCCTAGCCTGGAAAATGTTCAACATCGCCTAAGGCGCAAGCATATAAACTTATATGCTTTGTCGCGTCTCCCTGTGAGTGATCTGGCTCTCAGACTCTTCATCTCTTTTCGTCAACCTTGGCAAAAGCTGGGTGAGAGACTGCTACCACAATTTCTTGGGTCCTGTCTATGCCCTACACTGGCATCTCAGAAGATGAAGACAGCGACGTTCAAGCCCCCTATTCTGCTACAGCCGAGATACGACCAGTCAGTCCATCGAAACCCAGCCTGGAAACAACCCACGCGAAGAGTCTTTATCGTGACGAGAGCACAAGCACCGCCGCCAACCACCTGTGAGACAGGAGGTCACTCTTGCGAATTCAGAACCTCAGAGGCGGGAGGGGAGACCAATCTCGCGGATCGAGAGCCTGCAAGGCGGAAATCCAGCCTCAAAATCCCAGGAGCAAGGCGGCGAAGACAAGTTCATCAAGCGTGTCACTCATAACACCCGCAACGGCAATGTATACTACAATCAGCTACCCAGAACCGACTTGGCAAGAGTCTACACTACAATAAGACACACTCTGCTTAGTGTGCCGCTATGAAACATCTCTGACGATGTTCATAGTGAACCCTGAAGGATAGATATGCGGCAAGAAGTACTGTGTTGCAGGTGGAGGAGCGTCTATCAGGAAAGAAGCCGCACAGCGTTCTTTCCGGACCTTTAGGTCCACGCCCTTCACCGATCAGGGAAGTCAGTCGCAGGCATCCCCCCACCACATCAACATCATGGCTCAATACTCGAGACCCACAACTCCCCTCAATGGACCCGATCAGACGTCGCAGTCTCAGTCCCCTGCCTCCCCTCTCAGCACCAACCAGCACACGGAGGGACCCTCTCAGGAAGGCCCTTCGACCTCTCCTTGGACCGGCTACCAGCTCCATCAGGAAATGATGTACGAGCCTGAGCCTGTTTACCCCCCTCCTCGTTCCTTCTTTGGAAGTTCCGCTGAGCAGACCGCCCTCGCAAATGTCGGCCCCCGCTTCAGCGACGACAACCCCTCCTATGCTCACTCCCCTGCGTCTCCCCATTCAAGCCATCGCTCTCAGGACGTTGGCCCCCGATTCGGCAATGTCGACTCCCCTCATCCTCGCTCCCCTATGATTTCTTATTCACGTTCACCAGAGTTGGAGAATGCCTCCAACGCAGACAATCACAGCGACATGCAAGCCGACGACAATTACAACAATTCTCAAGCCGATGACGGTGACGCCGACACACAAACCCATAACTGGCGAAGCGTCAATCTCCAGGACATCTACGTCGAGAACGCCCCAGATGTCTCAAGCCAGCCAGATGATCAGCTTCAAGAAAAAATCAAACCACAGCATCCAGAGTTGAAGATGCAAGGTCGTCAGCCGTGGCGCCGAGTCACGGAAAAGGACCTTGAGAATGGCCGCAAGCAGCTCGAGGAGGCGCTGTTATGGTCACGAAGTGAGGTAAGTATCAATATAAAGTGCTAGAGAAAAACATACTGACACGTCCTATTAGGAGGGTCAGAGGCGCCGGAGAAGGCACAGAGAGCTAGCCAGGGCCGAGATCGCCAAGCACCGTCCTCCTTCCCCGGGCCCCGACGACGATTTCGACCTCGACTGGGAGGGACCACTCACCGCAAGCAAGGCCCTTGAGGTGGACATTTCGGACAACACCACCTTCCAGCCCAAAGAGACGTTGCACACCAGCGGCTTTGGCTTCAAAGCCAACGAAGCAGTTGGCAAAGATGCGTATAAAGTATCCATTTGGGACAGAACCACCTTCCTGCCCATGGAGACGTTGTACAGCGGCGGCTTTGGCTTCAAAGTCAAGGAGGTTGATGATGAGGAGGAGACTGTCGTCAGTGGCCTGGAGCCCACTATCGAGGAGGTTGATAATGAGGAGGAGACTGTCGTCAGTGGCCTGGAGCCCACTGTCGAGGAGGCTGAAGAGGGCCTGATGAAGGACACCGATGTGTCCGCTGTAGCCAAGCACGGCAGGGACGGGTCGTCAGATGACGACAACTCTGAGGTGGACATTTGGGCCTCCACCACCTTCCTACCCAAAAAGACGTTGTACACCGGCGGCTTTGGTTTCAAAGTCAGAACACTCGACCGAGATCTTGATGACATCCGCAAAGAGTTGGCGCGTGGGGAGGACTTCGAAGTCGAGGAGGTGGACGATGAGGAGGAGACTGTCGTCAGTGGCCTGGAGCCCACTGTCGAGGAGGCTGAAGAGGGCCTGATGAAGGACACCCATTTGTCCGCTGTAGCCAAGCACGGCGGGGACGAGTCGTCAGATGATGACAACTCACCTAAGAGGCAGAAGCGATAGGAGGTTCAAGCGAGGTGAACTCAGGTGGCCTAGCGGATGCATTTTCAGGACTGGAAATTGGGTCACAGATCGGGGGGAGGGGCGTCACATGTAGGATATCGGGACTTGATTCCCTGCTCACAGATGGTATTATGCGTACGGGGGCCGGGGGCGGAACTCTACACAGGGTCACTAATGGCATCGCTCAGAATTGCCGGGCCTCGAAGCATATAAATTACTTTGCTCATCTCTCTTATACGGCCTCTACTGTGACGTGGAACTTGTTGCTCGAAGTAGGATGAAGAAAATGAGCTCGCGCACGTCTTAGTAAACATAAGATGTCCAGTGTCTCTAGGATTACCGTAGAGAGACCGCCTATTTTTCCTGTGTTATGCTGGCTATTTTTCCTGTGGCTATGATCTTCTTTACCCTCGTTGTCCTCGTCATCGTTACTTCTATCGTCGTCCTCGTCGTTGTCGTTATTGTTTTCGTTGCTTCTATCGTCATCGCTTCTATCGTCATCGCTTCTATCACCATCGCTTCTGTTGTCCTCGTCCTCGTCCTCGTCCTCGTCGTCCTCGTCGTCCTCGTCGTCCTCGTCGTCGCTCTCGTCGTTGCTCTTGCCGTCTCTAAGAGGAGTTATTAAGTACATAGGAAGTACAACCTGCTGGTTCGCTTTGAGTCGCTATGCACTCAGCATCAGTTCATTGCTGACGATAACCCCATCCAACAGCACATCTCATTGATACCGCTGCTTTCCTTATCGCTACGAATTTCGGGTGATCACAGCGTATGCCCGGTCACCGTGAGCATGTCGGACTCAGAATCAACACAAACCGTCCGAATCTCTGCACGCCGTGTTGCAATCTTGGAAAGAGCCCCAATCCTGATGACAGACGCTTTTCCCTTCTCGATGTCAAACTTGCCTTGCCCCATCTACGAGTCGTGGAAGGGCTTGGACGCGACGTCCAAGCTTCCCTGCTGAGGGCAAAAGAGTGTGCCCATTGCTCCAAGCGGGAGCGAGTTGCCAAGCTCCCAGACCACTCGGCGAACAAGGGAACATTCAGCATCTCCAAGGTCACCGAAAAACACCAGCAACATGCCCAAGCCAGGTCTGATTAGTCTATGAACCAGCCGCCATAGCCCTCATCATGGTATTTTTACAAGTACACGAAGGTCCTTCAAGCGCCACCAGTGTCAACGGCAGCACCTCCATGGCATGAAAGATCTCTTTTTGATTTGTCTCTCTGTGTCGTGATAAACCTCCTCGCTCTAATCGTTAGCCGCTCCCTTACTCTTCCATCTTGTCATCATCCTTCTTGTCCTCGTCATCGTCATCATCGCCCTCGAGCGCCTTCTTGGCTAACCGCTCCGCCTCCTCACGCAGCTCCTTGGGTACCTCCTCGTGACGGCCCTTGGTGGGACCGTTCACGTCACTGATCCAGCTCATCTCAAGCTCGAAGTCCTTGTCCTTGTTGTCGTCGTGGGCGACGTAGATGATGCGGGCAGCCTCCTTGACGGCCTCCTTCAGCGTCAGGCCTCCCTCAGCCAGGTCGAGCTTCTCGAGCTCGGCCTTGGCAGCCTGACGGCCCTTGCCGGTGGCGGCACCGTAGTAGCCCCAGTACAGACCTGAAGGCTCGATCATGTAGAGGAAGGGACCGCCGTGGGTCTTGGATTCGTCCTTGCCTCCGGCGCCGACCTTGGGGCCAGAACCGACCTCACCGTCGACGGGAGACTCTTGGGAGGGGTCGAAGCCGCCGACGATGGCGGTGATACCGAAGGGGCGGACGGAGGAGTAGAGGGTGTAGGCTTGGAGGTAGCCGCCCATGCGGGCAGCGAGGTCGGCGGTGGAGATGGGGGTCTTGAAGGTATCGCGCCAGCCGCGTGCTTCTTCGCGAGCACGGTCGACGAAGTGATGGCCATCGGGAACCATGCCTGAGTAGACCTTGGAGGTGTTAGTCGATGTGCAAGTTTGTGTACGAGAAACGAATGGAGCTGGCATGAGGGGTCGTGTGCGTTTGCAGAGGGGTGCGGAAGCAAGGGTGGACTTACAACACCGAGATGTCTGTCAATGGTGGCAATGCGCTTGTTGGCGTTGGGCTTCCATAGCTTGGAGGTGATGATCTTCTCGACGGCGAGAACGACGCCCTCCTTGCAGCGGATACCGATGGATGTGCCGCCGTTCTCGACTGCCTTCACGGCATACTCGACTTGGAAGTTACGACCATCGGGGGAGAAGATGGAGTTGCTCAGGTCGTAGCCTGTGCCTATCGACGTCTGCCATGGGATGACTGGTTAGTGAATGCTGCGCTGGTTGTCATTGTGGCGGGATGGTGATAGCTCCCAGCATCCCGGTCGTCCAGCTCCGGGCCAGGACCTGGCAAGGGCAAGCTTACCATTGTGAATTAGAGAGGGGGATTGGGTATTTGGAATGTGGCTGGCGTGGATACGTAGGGAGAGACTCGGCCGTCGTGATCGGAGGAGGTGAGGTGCAGGTCGTGATGTCGGTCGTGTCGCTTTCGGGTGGTGGTGGATGACGATGCGGGACGTTGAATGGAATTGGGGAATCTGGAGCCTTGAGATCTGAGCTTCAGGCAACCTGAGAGCTGCGTGTTGCTGCGCGAGGTCGACGGCGAGGCTAGACGTAGGGGTGCCTCAGGTTGAAGGCGGGAGGGAAGCCTGGGGCGTGGCTACAGGCAGCTTGGGAAGGGGTGAAGGAATTAAATCGGCCAAAGCCACGTGTGGCGGGAGCTGAGGCTTGACTTGAAGATTAGATAAGCTCCGCAGCGTTGTTCACGATGGAAGCTGCAGGGGATTTCAATATTTTTAATCATTACCTACCCCACCATCCCGCACTCACGGGCAGGTTGAACCTGCAGTGGGCTGCAGGTGCCAGCAGCTATGGAGGGGTTGCGACGGAGGGGCATCATCTCAGCATTCTTTTACGGCAGGCACATCGCGAGGTGCGGCACCCAAGTATTTGGGTCGTGGTGTCATCGCGACGAGTGCGAAAGCTGATTCCCCTTTCCATCCTCATTTCCTGTTGAAAATCCTCGACATTAATGCTCTGTCTGGCTCAGCGCTGAAAACCCTGACAAATTCCCATCAGGAGCCTGTCACAATTCCTAGACACCGATAGTCGGCATCCCAGGAGTCCAGGCCCGGATGGATTCCGGCGAAACATGTTGGGACGGGGATCTTTAGGAGCGGTGTGGACGCACCGGACTGGACCTCGGGAAAGCCCAGGTGGTAAGGTTGAGCAGGCAAACGAAGACCTGCTGAAATGCGCCGGTTCTTTGGGAAGCAACAAGTGCCGCAAAGACAGAATATACTTTTGGCAGGCCGATTCGGAACAGAGTCTGAGGGATGCCATCATCGTTTTCTGTAGAGAACAAAAGGCAGTCTGGGAGCGTACAGAGGGTGCATATGATGCCGGGTGGGCTCGCGTGTGTCACGGGAAACTGGTTTGATACCTCCGTGTCTTCCAGAAGCTGGGTTGACCGGTCGTGTCACCGATCCATTGGGCGACAGGCGCGGATCTGGAAGAGTGTATGTTTCAAGTCGACATGTCCTGCCGGCTGGCCGGCCGGACCTGCTCTTGTTACTTTAGCTGCATACATGACCTCCATCTTTTTCCAGTCGGTCAGGTACCAAATTCACGGTGCAGCCTGGCGATCATGTCTTGCCGTGAATATCGGTATGGACGGTAAATGGTAGGATGAGCTATATTATGGACAGCAAACAGGCGGAAAACAGGGGCATCAGGCAGGCATTCCGGCCTGACGGGACAGCAGATTGGGCGTTAGCGCTATTGGTGGTGATAAATGATGAATGATGAGGTGGTGATGTGTGGATGCGCCATGTACGCCGGGCCTGGCCCCGGTCTGGCACCTGGCACGCCGCACCGGTCTGTAGGTCAGGTCAGGTCAGGCACCCGACCGCCAAAAGCCAAAGCGTTCGTTCAGCGCATCTTCCCTCCCCCCCGCCCGTCTCTACCTTACTGCGTACTGGTATCTGCTGGTAGCGGAAAGATGAAGGGAAGGGCTGTCTGGCTACGGCCTGTGAATCCGTCACATTGCCCTGCCTGCGTCATGACCTTGCCTGCTAGTTGCCCCTCCTTCCTAATTTCCCCCTGCCAGGCCAGCCCGGCGTCCCTCGTCCCTCGCTCCAAGTGCCTCTGCTCCCCCCTCCTGCCCTCCACTTGTCTCTCCCCTCCTTCCCTACAAATCCGAAAAGGGTTATGACTCTTCTTGCCATATAAAGTCCAAACCGCCCTCAACATTCTACAGATTCTTGTATTTTGCAAACTCAACGACTACTGGCTATTGCTACTGAAGAATCACAAACTGTCCCCGTCCCGTCGACCGTGTCACCGAACCGAACGAATCCCGCCGTCGCCGCCGAGACGTTCGACTTCTTGCAAACTCACCCCACCAGGCCACTGACTGCATCTGCACCGCTGACCTGTTGGCATCGCATCCACGCCCCCCTTTCAACCCCAACCCTGCTTGCTGTCTTCCTGCCCAAGGGAACATCAAGACCGAACCAAACCCCCGACCGTTGCTTTTCAAGACCACTTTTCTTTCGTCTACCGAGTCTTCTGTTCGCTTTCTTATCACTACGAATATTCGTCTCCTGAAAAAATCGATTTCCCTCGAGTAAATAGCATAGCCAATATAAACAGTTTTGTTTTCCCACCAGACGCTGTCTCAAGGCACCCCGAGCCGAGCACCACAAGAAGAACAAGCCAAAAGACAGTTATTTACTGTCTTCCATATTTCGCCAACATCTTTACCTCTACAGCAAACAGCTTCACACCGAACGGCCTTCATTTCTGGCTTCTCCGCCAATTTCGCAGCTCCCAAGAAGGCAAGTCTTGCTCCAAGAGCTAACTCCGGCGCCGTCCGATCAAACGCCCCGGTCCCGCTTTCGGAGCCCCGCCGGGGTTTTGTCGGAGATGATCAACAGTAACAGCAACAGCAACAGCAACATCACGGCTTGCACAAGATTTACGAAGAATATTTGCTAACAAACTCACAGGAAGATGGTTTCTTTCCAGCCCTCCATGCAGGTCCAAGACGACCTTGCAACTCTCTTTTCCCGCAACCTGACCTTCAACCCGGAGGTTCAGTCCCAGACCCCTCTTAAAGTTGAGGAGGAGCTCAAGCAGCAGACCCCAGACCCCGCCCCCGCCAATGCCGCACCGGCCCCCATCATCTACTCCATCTCCCAGCACTACACCCCCAACGCCCACATCGTGCGCCAGCAGCAACAAGAACCTCAGCACGAGGTCCAGCGCCCTTCCTCTGAACCTCCTCAGACTGAGCAGATCACCCCCGAGTTGGTCCTCGCCCAACATGGCGTCGACACTTCCGTTCTCTCCCCCGCCCAGTTCCAGCTCTTCCGAATTTCCGAGGAACCCCACCAGCTCCGTCTGATCGAGCTCTGGCGCGAGGCCCCGCCTACCTCGAGCAACGATAACCCCACCCTGGCATGGACCAGCACCACCCTTGAGCAAGAGGAGCAGCTGGCTCGCATGCGGTACGAGCGTATGGAGTCTGAGAGACAGCAGCAGCAGCAGCAGCAGCAGCAGCAGCAGCAGCAAGTCATGAGCCTCGACGGAACCCAGATCCAGGCCGACGACAGCCGCTGGCTTGCAAGCTCCATCTCCCACCACGTCGAGCCCTACATGATGTCCGGCTACGAGGAGATGATGCGCCGCGAGCAAGAGCGTGAACAGCGCGTCCGGGAGCAGCAAGCACAAGAGCAGCGCGAGCGCGAACAAGCCGAGCTTCTCCGCTCCTCGGGCAACAACTACTCTCACTACGGCTCCGCCGTCGGCTCATCGTACAAGCCGGCCACCGACCCTGTCTACAAGGGCTTCGGCGACGATTGGGCCCGGGAGCAGCAGATGCAGATGGAGAACCAGTACGGTGCCTACCAGGCATGGGGAGGCAACATGGAGGCCATGGAGATTTAATGAGCTTCGTACGTATTATTATTCAGCATTCGTCCAGCATAGCAGCGAAGGCACACGCCGGCAGCAGATACCAGTTAGACTGCATGAAAGAACAGGAACGGATGGAAGAGTCGCGATTTTGGCACGCACGCCTTTGGAGAACCTTTCACTTTTGTTGGCTCCGTTATGACTAGGCATTGAACGTATACCGTTGGGAAGGCATGAGGAATGAATAGCGAGAAAATCAATTCAATTATGTTACGTTACGTTTCATGGGGCGACGAGCTTGAAGACAGGCGGGAAGAATATCATAGTGACGAGCTTGATGGTGCCAGTAATGGGGACAAAAGGGATAGGCCTGAAGAGGTATGTGTAGGAAAGAAGCGAACGATGAGGATGGGGATGAAAGGGGTGCTCGACGGTTTTCACGCGCATGACATAGGCAATATCCAGAGGTACCGCCTTGACACTCACTCACGTATTGCACTCACGTATTGCACTTGAAGTCGGTAAGTTGCTAAATGTGTTTTCATTCGGCAAGCATATATGCTGTATTCAACCACGTAAAATGATGTTTGCCATCCCACGATCTCCCCCTTTCGTATCAACAGTCGTCAGACTTCAACTTGGGAGCCCCCTTTTCCAATGGCTTCCTTTTCGGCCCCAGTAATAACAACAATCCTCATCCCATTATGCCCAATGTTTTTGGTTAAATACTAAAAAATGTTTTCGTAAAGTGGTATCTCGCTGTATACGCCGGGTATATGATATGGTCCATGATCGTAGAGTCGATTAAGTGTTTTTGTACTAATGCTTTTCATCCCAACCGTCAAATCTGCCCGCCTGGATTCCCAGGGTGCTCCGTCATCCTGCTCGACAGCCACTGCGCCGAGTCCATGCCGCCGGGCACGTTGACCTGCCACACGGGCGGCGGCGGGCTCGGCAGCGGTACATCCCCCGGCGACGGCGGCGCGAGGAAGCGGCTGTGATAGCTGCTGGTGCGCGTCGCGCGGCTGTACCGGTCGTAGCGGCTGTTGCGCGCCGTCGTGCGGCTGTCGCGGTACGTGTCGATGTGGCTGACGCTGTCGCGGCCGGTGTAGGTGTTTGTGACGGCGACACCGGTTGTTGCGGTCGTGAGGCTGGAGATGCGGCTCGCGCGCGGGTCGTTGTTGTTGAAGCCGCCCCAAGTTGTTGAGGACTGCATCGAGTCGCGGGCGTTGGGGTTGTTGCCGGGCGGGGTGAAGCCCATCGAGAGGGCGGACATGCGCGGTGAGACCCAGTTGAGGGTCGGGGCGGTGGAGGGGACCATGGGGGAGAGGTGGAGGCCGTCTTCGAAGTCGGAAGGTTCCTCGTGCGTCTGTGGGTTTGTTAGCATAGTATTTTTAGGGTAGAAGATGCGAGAGATGACATACCTCGCGGGTCGGCGTTGGGGCGAGGTAGTGCCCGCCCGCGCCGTCTTCCCTGGGCGTCACGAGCCCTTCGCCGTCCTCCTCGCCGCTGCGTCTCCGGGGGTACGATAAGTCGAACGTTTTGCTCAGGCCGCTGCGTCTTGACGGGGCTGTCGATGTTGCCGCGTCGTCGCCGGGGTGGTGTATACGAGGAAGCTCGGCCGCGTCGAACTCAGCTTGGATCTCGGCCTGGATGCCGGCTTCAATCTCTTCCAGGGGTGCATCTACATCCGAGAGGCGGAAGCGGGCCTGTCGTGCGTGGCCGCCGGATTCGTCACTGCGGACGTAGGACGGCTTGCCCTGCAAACGCTCACGCCAAGCTACGGCGCGGGGGGCCTGGGACTTGAGGCCGGCACGGTACCACACGAGCTGCCAGAGGGGGCGGAGTGTGGCGAGGGAGGCGGCGGTGATGCCGATGCCGGGCTCGACGGTGCTCCAGAGGGCGACGTCGGTGGTCGCCCAGAGGAAGTCGTCGCCGTTGAGGAGGGTGGGGATGTAGACGGACCTTACGACGGTGGCGGCGGAGCCGATGGCTGCGAAGGAGAGGATGGCGAAGGCGAGGAGGCGAGTGCGTTTGGGGAGGGAGAGGGACCAGACGATGAAGAGCGGGAGGATGCCGAAGGACCAATCGGCGAGGCAGTTGATGATGGAGGCCGTGAGGGTCATGATGACGACGACGCGGTCGTTGAAGCACTTCCCCTGCACGCGGGGGGATTTCTCCCAGAAGGTGTTTACGGGGACGCACTGGAACGTGACCATGAAGAAATAGGTCGTGCCGAAGAGAACGGTGCCGAGCATGAGCACGCGCAGAATCCAGATGTGGGAGCGGCGGATGGAGACGCGGAGGAGGAAGTAGCCGACGGAGATTTTGAGGAGGCAGGTCGAGATTATGTAGAGGAGTTCGCAAATGTACCAGTACTGTGATGGTTGTTAGTGAGGTGGATTTCTGGGAGGGTGGGACGTGGAGAGGGGTTACCATGAGGGCATCACGGTTGGCTTCCTCCGTAAGATCTGCCCTGTGTCGCCCTGTGCCATAACGGACGCCTTGTATTTGCATTATCAGGTAGACAGTGAATAGGAGCTGTAAGTGTGTCAGTCACATGTCAAGAGTCGCAAGCAGCAAGTTCTGGCGTCCTACCATGAGCCCAATCATCAACTTGTCGTCGACGCCAAAGGAGCGTATGATCCATCCTCGACAGTATATGCGCAGGCCGACGACGCTCCAGCACAGCACGAAGAAGAGGACCGCGACGGCCAGCACTTGCCCGCTGCGATCCTCCATTCTGCCTGTATCATCCACGGTTCCGTCTTCCCCTCTCTCTTTCTCGACGGTCGTCCGTCTGTCGTCTGCTTGTGTTTTGCTTGCTCTTCTTTTCACCTGGACATATTGACGGGGTTTTGGCTTATGATCGTCGGGATTAAGGCGACGGGCGGGACGTGATGTGCAGTGTGTGATCCGGGTTGGCGGGACGAAGCCGGGGGGGCGATGGAGAAACGGGAGATGGGGTAGGAGAAGATGGGACCTGTCAGGGTCTGGGGTGGCTACCACTGGGTATACATATCATGAACGACCTGTGTAAGAGAGAGTGAGAGAGTGGACGAGCCAGCAAGCATAAGCGTGAGTCTAGCCACGCTCGGGTCTTCGGTTGGGAGGGAACCAGATTTAGGGGTACGTTAGGTCTGATATCTCGATTGAGCCGTGGCAGCAGGTAAGAATAGCCACCAGTCCATTCCCGGGAAGCCAGAGCCGGGGAACGCCTCCGGCTTTGGGTGACGGTGGTATCCGTACATCCATACGAGTTGGACGTGAACGATGGCGGGGCGGGCATCTGTTGTTCGCTCGTCCACCAGGAGCTGTCCACAATCTCCGCCGCCCACCCTCCCGCTTCACTTGAAGAAACATCACACTCGTGGTGTATGAGTGTGGGCGGGAGTCAGGTCGCGAAGTCTATGAGAGTGACGCGCCCAATAGCCTTGAGGTGCTTCTGAGGGCTGCATCCAGGCGTGTTTTGGAGAAGTAGAGACGACGTAGCTACGTCTCCTTTCTCCCATCCCACCTCCATCGCTCTGTTCCGCGTGCGCCCCTGGTGCCTTATTCCCAGGCACAAGAACAGCAACACATCCCCGCCAATGAGGATGGGCGAGTAGCGCAGGTTGCGCAGCTCGAGTGAGATAGGGTTTTCTGGCTAGCGGTCGAGTTGGCGTGGTTGACGACGTCGGCGAACAGACGCTAAAGCACCGCAGTAGCTCGAAGAAAAAAAACACGACCCCCAACAGAGAAGCGTCAGGTAAACTGGATCAGGTCTACCGCGGAGCCTTTGGGACCCGGGCGACCATGCGGCTCGAGCGGTGGGTTGGTTGCTGTGCCTGGATCGTTCCGACTCTCTTGTTTACGCTCAAGCCTCCTTCTCTTTTGCAGGGAAAGAGGGAAGATCGACTCCAAGGCGGAGGCTCGCTTGGCGTTGCGTTTTGTTTCTTTTGGGTATAACGCCAGGAACGGCTGGTCTGTTTTTGGAATCAGCTAAGAGACGTTTCCCCTTTTTCCAGTGCCTTGTTTCAGGGCGGTACTTGAAAGACGGTGTTTCTATTCGCTCGAGTATGATAAGAGAGTGAGCTGATGATGCAAGCCAGGCTGTGAATGAAGCTTGAATTGAACCTGGGTTTTTTTCTGCCTTTCCGGTGGGACGGAGCTGTCCATCGGTCGATGCCATGTTTATCTGACGTCGATCTTGATCCCTGGTAGAGTTCATCAAAACGTGTGAAGAAGAGGGGGATGAACCGCCCTGCGACACCTGCTGCACGCGCTATGCAAGACGAGAGTCTTTGGATTTCAGTACAGCAAGGGAAGGGACGAAACATAGTTTGAGAGGTGCAGAGGAGGCAGGAAACGGTCTCACGCAGTTGTGATCACGGCCAGACAACTTGGAATGGAAGTTGCACCCGCCGTGCTGGGTCTAAACGCCGATCCGAAACCCGCAAGGTCAGTGTCGCCGCAGCACGGAACTGCGGAAAGGATTGCCCCGAGTTCTCTGCTTCCTGTCAGTCCAAGCACTCGCAGTAGTAGCCATGCGAAACTGATGCCATCACGCGCATGAAGGGGGCCAAGAACGGGCCTTGCGTTAAACAAATATGCATTGATGGATGGTCTACGTGTGTCTGTACGCGCCCGACAGAGAGCAAAAGATCAACAGCTTTCGTGATGCGTCATGCAACTTTCCGTCGTGTGTCTGGGCCTTCCGCGGCCAATCGTGGAGCCACGCGAGCTGTCACGGCCTTGGCGACGATGCGCAACAGGAGAAAGGCTTGTCATGCTTTCCCCTCCGTCTTCCCCAGGCGCCCCCATCACCTCTTCTTGTTCTTGCGCTTGTTGGCCTTGCCGGTCTGCGCGCCGCTAGCCTTGGCCTTACCAAGGGAGTCGGTCGACTTTTCCAGAAGTTCAAAGTCGTCAGCGGTTGAGTCGGAGCTGGGAGTGTGCTGGGCGTTGCCGTCGTCCGAGTCGAACTCCTCAGTCTCGAGTGCGACCTCCTCGGTCTCCTTGTTGAGAGCGCGGCCCACGGTGCGGTTGTAGGCCCAGATGGGGAGGCGGACGAGCGCGGTGTCGTGGATGGTGGGCTGAGGAAGCTCGTTGGGCTATTGTTCTTTGAGTTAGCATCACCCGAGATTTGGGCCATTGCGTAGCGGAGATTGTGCCTGTCAAGCTCTAGCTTGACACTACACGCGGCGATCAGAACTTACATCAAGCAGGAACTGCTCCACCTCGCCGTCCTCGTTCTCCTCCTCGAGGTAAACGTCGCCGACGGAGTCGACAACGAGGATCTTGCCGTTCTCAGCAACAACACGCTTCTTGGCTCCAGTTGGGCCGGAGGACTGGGCGACGGCGGTTTCGCGGGGAGTCGCGGTGCCGCTGCCGGCGGGCTTGCGACCACGGCCCCTGCCCTCCTTAGCGGCGCCCTTGCGAGCGGCCTGCTCTTGCATGCGGCGCTCCTTGCGGTTCCTCGGGATGGGGGGCGCGTCCTCGTCGTCTTCGGCAGCAGCCAGGGCGGGCGCAGGGGCGGGAGCATCGTCAATACCGGGAATGTTCAGGTTGTCACCCCAAGCAGCATTGCGCGCAAACTTGATGTAGCGCTCCACGAAGTCTCTCTGGCGCTTCCATGACATGTACAGGGCAATGTAGTGGAAGGCACCGCCGGCGACGAGGAAGACTCCGAAGAGAACGGTGCCAAGACCGGGGCGGTAGCGGTTGTAGTAGTAGTTGGTGCCCTTCCAGGCGGGGAAGCCGTTGCGGAGGAAGTGGTCGTAGCGGTCGCGGTCAGGGCCGCTCAGGATGTTGCGCACGAGACCGAGACGGGCCTGGCGGTCGGAGGCGATCTTGACAGCGGCCTTGATCTCCTTCTGGGTAGGGGGCTTGGAGACATTGACACCGGGCTTCTTCTTCTTGTCCTTCTTGGCCTTGGCACGCTCGGCGATGAGCTGCTGGCGAACCTTGTCAGGGTGGAGGGAGCGGGAGATCTTGCGGTAGGCCTTGGTGATGTCGTCGATGGAGGCGCCGTTCTTGACGCCGAGGAGGTCGTAGAAGGTCGCGTCGGCATTGGGCTCGTGCGCCTTGATCTCATCACGGATGCGGAAGATCTCGCGATCTATTTGTGTCTCTTGTCAGCTTTTGTGTCGCACAATGTGCTTTGTGTCTGCGGATGCATTGTTTGCTCACCTTCCTTGCTCCAGGCCGCGGTCAAGGGCGACAGGAGGGCCAAGAGGCCAATAGACAGCACGCTGAACCTCATCCTTGCATAACCAGAACCAGCGTACTATGCCAAAGAGTCGACGAGATGCGGCACGGGGACGGCCGAAATATGGGAGAGTCTCGGTGTCGAGTCCTGAGGATGCCAGGTGTTATTAGCTTTAGCTTCTCAAATGGGGACGTGGGGAGCATGTGGCATGGAGCTGCCAGCGAAGCAACAACAACAGGAAGCAACACGCAACGCCTGAACCACCAATCAAACAAAACGAACGTAACCTACCTCTCTGTCCTCTTGTTCTGTTTCCTCCAAAAGGGTTGACAAAAGACTTTGCCTCCCTGCGAATCCGAATACTAAAGAGCAGAAAACTGGCTGCCCAGAGAAAAGAAAATTTTCCCGAGACTTGCAAATGGGAAATGTGGTCTCTTGGGCCAGGAGAAATCTCAAAGGAGATGGAATTTCCCGTTGGACAAGGGAACTTTTTTGCCTTCAACCGGGGGGCCAGTCGCAAAGGGTCGCTGCTGCTGCTGGTGCTGCGGCCCAGGGGACTCCCGTTTGCAAAAGAGACTCAAAGGAGAAGGTTCCGGACAGGGGTTCATGAATCGCACCAGTCCCTCTTGGGCCTAGATTGATCCAGATCTGCTCCCTTAATTGTGCGGCCTATATGTCTTATGTAAGCCACTCAACGGGTGCCTCCCGTTAGATAACGTCCCTCGGTCAGGAAGGTGAGGCTCGGTGAGAGACTTCAACCAAGACATCTGCGGTGGACACTCATTTCCTATCATCACCAAAGGTAAGATTTACACGACCTGCACCAATAGTCTGTCTCTTACACGATGTGAAGCTATTCCCCCCAAAATATCTCATGGTCTATATAGCGAACAAAAATCCCAAACAATATCCTCCACGCCCAAGTATCCCTCCTAAGTTTTCCAAAGAGAAGCCATTCTAAGATTGCGATGGCCCTCCATTCATCTGATGCTCGAAGAGCTTACTCCCCCACCACCACGATGGCTGCTCAAAACTCTTCGACACGTTGTTGAAGGCTAAATCTCGAAGATTATCCGGGCCAAGCCTTTGATGCTCACGCAGCTTCGGCCGGAACTTGTCGCCTATCGGAGCCCGGCACAGCAAGCATTTCCAACCCTGCGCCCACGTAGTATCGTCCTCGGAGACGTCCTCTTCGGCCCCGCGAAGCGGTCTCGACGCCAGCCACTGCTTGAGACACCGCGCCCCGACAAACGCCTTGCAGCACGGCATCTTAACGGGCTGGTGGAAGGGCTGCGAGCCCCACGTGTCCGTACACACCGAGCACTGCGTCTGTCCCTGATTGATAGCCTCCTGCGGCTTGACCGCAAAGGCCTTGACGCCGCGATCGGCCGCCTGGTTCCGGGAATTGATGTCGTTCGCGATGATGCGCCTGTTGCGCCTGATCAACTTCACCAGGGCCGACGTCTCGTGCGCGGCGTCGTAGAGGTTCTCCTGGATCTCGCTCCTGCGAGCGAGCAGAGGCCAGTGGTTCTCGAGCTCGAAGACGCATTCCTGCAGCACATCCCAAGCGGCGAGGTCCGGGTCGAGGCACTCCGGCTTCTTATGCGACGGGTGCGACCTTGTCCGAATGGACGGGTAGGGGTTCAGGATGGCGAGGAGAGCGCCGCCGAGGAACATCATCACCTCCTCGTCGAGCCCTGCGTCGTACGCGAGGAACATGAACATCCACTGCAAGAGCGTCTCGCGACGTAGAAGCGCCGACGGCCAGTTGTCCAGGTCCATCCACTGGACCCTTCGTGTGTGGAAGGTGGCGTTGTTGTACGGGTAGCTTTGCGAGACTTGGGGCCCCCGTTTGATTAGTTCCTCGTGGCAGTCGTCCCCGAGGTCTACGAGCCTGTCGTACCGTTTGGCACAGGCGTCGAAGTCGACGTCGACGTACTGCATCTGGTATTCGGGGAAGTCGCTGGCACGATACAGGCCATAGATTTGTCGTGCTCTGTCGGTGACTGTCCAGTCTTCTGTGTAAACGTTGGTGGCTGCGTCGTATCTGAAGATACGCCCCATCCAGAACCGTTCGCGCTCGCCGCGAGGTATCTTGTCGATACCCTCAAGGACGGACTCCGCCTCGTTCTTTCTCAACGTGATGGCGGGGTTGACGCGCCACTCCTCCTTGGTCGAGGGGCAGTCGCACACATCCATGGCGTGTCCAACATGACTGAAGACCACTTTGCAGAAGGTCTCTTGCCAGCAAGTGTCGATGATCTGGCTCCATTCCAAGCTCTCGGAGGCGATGGGGTAAGGACTCGTCAAGATCCTGTGCATGAGGAGGAGGAGCCTGAGAATGTAATACTCCTTGTAGGCATCGAACCTAGCGGCCAGCTGCTGGTCGGGGTCGTTTTCCACCGGGATCTTGGGGTGTATGTCCCACTCCCCAAATACGTCCTCTCGTCTCTCGACATGAACGTCAATGTCTCCTTTGCAGAACGGGCATGCGGTGCCGATGTACTGGATCTTTTTCATGTCGTTGGAGAGCTCGTCGCATTGACGATGATAATTATGGGAGCAGCGAATCCAGTTTGCCGTCCAGTGGATGTGCTTGCCATGTGGAACCTGGTCTTGGGGATCCTCCCAATTTTCCCTGAAGATGTTCTCTTCCTGGTTCACTAGATGGTGTGGGTGGCCGGAGGGGCTTGGCCTGGGGTGCGGGACTGTGAAAGCGTTTGCTGGCAGAGGTCCAAAGTCGGGTGCTTTGGGGCAGAAATATCTGCGCCATAATTGGATACACATTTTGATAATGATGACTTTTAACGCAGCTGCACGATATTTCTGCTGTGTAAAGATATACAAGAAGCTGCCGGTTGCAACGAATGTTAGAGTGATTATTGCGATCTGGAAAGACTGTTCGTCGTGGAGACATCTTACTGGCAGCCCATGAAATTTATCATATAGGCGGCGCCCAATCCGTGGCATAGACCAGCAATGCCTGTATGCTTGGATTGAAAGAAACTTCGACAATCGTCCTACCCGAAGCAGTTGAGTCTTTGAGTGTGAGGCTGATCATCCATGAACTTGGGAAAACAACAATAAGTAACCATAATGGAAAAAGAGAGCTTCGAGCAAGTCACCAAGGGATAATGTTGGACCGGATTTAGAATTACTACGTTCCCAACCTAATCGAAACAGAATATGAAGAGCTCTGAATGTCCCCTTTTTTCCATTGTTCATTGCTCCTGACGCTGCTTTGTCAACTAAACGCCCGGATAAGCGAGGCAGACGGAAGGAAACCAGTGGGATGGGGTGGTTGGTCGCGTCGTCGTTGACGCACCTTGCAAGTTATCCTTGTCCAAACTTCATGCAATTACTCATGCGTGGCTTGGCTACCTTATTCTATCTACCTCATTCAGAGCCTGTGCAGCCGAACATCGGGTTCCTCCTTTCGGGTCATTCTGGACGGCCCCGGGCCGGTGACCCACCATGGGACCGGCGATTGAGTGGTGAATTGCCTAAATCGGAAGACGTCAGTGAACCACTGCAGAACTATTGGAAAGCTTCACGTGAAACCGTTGGATCTGATCGACATCCAACCAGGCTCTTGGAATGACCCCTCAGCAACATATACGAAACCTCGGCCGAGTCGTCGAGGCCCAGATGTATTTGCTTCTTCTTTGTCGTCTCGGCCTCAACCTCACTCGCCCGACGCTCAGAAGATCACGCTTCCACAAAGAACAACATGAAAGCAGCCCTAATAATGGGCCAATTTCTGTCACATGGGCCAACAGATTCCGGTCCTCGGCCGAGTGGGCAACTTTGAAGGCCCCCGACCTCCGCTGAACAAGGGCGTTGTTCAGTCTCGCGGCCATATCTCCCACCGCTGCCGCGACATTCTTCAGAGACCAATTATGATAGGTGACTTTGTGAATTCTTGATCTGCAGAGTATGAGCATAAGTATCTGGCATCTTTTGGGGGAGTCGAACATGAAGACAGATCCAAAACACTCAACAGCAACATCATACACTTACTATCATGGTCTCCGCCATTCGCGAATTCATCGAAGAGTGCGTCTCAATCTTCCGCTGCGTCCACATTACTACCGATGCCCCGAGACAACGCGCGATGTCGCTGCCCATGATTCACTATCAGTACCCGCCGGAAACAACCTTGTTTAGGTGCAAGTCTTTCAACCAGGAGGTGCCACAGCGGGACCCAACACAGCTTCATCCAAGAAACATATCCACGGAGGCCGTAGTAGATGCGGAATATGTAATGGAGGCGAAATCTGTAATCGCGACGGAGGCCGAATTCAAAGTTTCGGCCAATCTGCCCTACGATCCCCTCGCTCTGCATCCTGTCACTTTTGACGTTGACAACCCAGCCCCCGAAGACGCTGAAGCTTCGGCCCCCTCGCCTCTATTACAAGGCGTAGAGAATAACGGAACAAACGGGGACTTTCACGAACGCTCGTTCCGCATGCGCATGGTAAGAAATAGCGCCATCTTGGTTCCTTCCTATCTGCCACCCCCTCGCCGTCTGCTGTCCTCGCCTCTTTACTCGATTGAAGAAGAGGACGAGCCTAGGAACTATCTTCGTGGCATGGCTGGCCGAGAGCGCCTTGAATAAGCACTGCCATTGCGGATAAGGGTCTGGGATGGTGAGTCTAAAATGTTGGATGTAACTTGTCCCGTGATTTTGGGTACCATTAGTAAGAAAGGAGGGAATTGATTAGTTGATAATACCGTGCATAACAGCGCAGGCAAGTTCACAATTATCAACTCAATGCTTCTGGACGTGTAAGTAACGTAGAAAACATCTTTTAGACATTAAGAATCTATGATGCTCTTGCTCTACCAAAATCAAACAGCCCGCGCGGCCGCTTTTTCTATTAAATCAAAGTCTTTTCCCAAAACCCTGACGCCGTAAACACATGATCACCACACATCCTATTTCTTCGCGCCCTGCTTCTTAAGCGCCTCGTGATTCCGGCACCACTCGTCCCACGCCTTCTTCATCTCGCCCTGCACCCCGCCAGCAGCACCCTTATCCATGGCCCCCACAACCGCATCGACAACCTTCCTATCGCCGTTGTACGCGTGGAATACGCTCGACGCGGCAATGAGGCAAGCCGGCACGGCAGCCTTGGCATGCGCCTTCGTCTCGCCCGCCTTCAGCTCCTCATACACCCCCTTCAACACTTCCAGCGCCTCCTCCTTATCGACCTTGCCAGCCGCGGCGGAGGAGCGCGCCTTGCGCAGCCGCTTCTGGTAATCTTTAATCAGCTCGAACGCGCGGTCCGCGAGCGTCTTGATGGTGCTCGTGCGGACCAGCTCCAGCAGCGGGCGCAGGACGGCGAGCGTCGTGGGGCTGCCGGCCTCGTTGCGCACAAAGATCTCGAGCAGGTCGAGCACGCGGCGCTTGAAGTTGACGACGGACTCCTTGGCGGCCTTGCGCTCCTTCTTCTTGCTCGGCGCGGCCTTGGCGCGCTGCTTGAACACCTCGGCGAGCTTGTTGTCGAGCTCGAGCATGTCCGAGTCGCTCATGTCGGCGTCGTCGTCGGACGAGTCGGCCTCCTGGTCCTTGTCGAGGCGGTGGCTGTTGAGGATCTTGCCGAGGGCGTCGTCGAGGGCTTCCAGGTTCTTGGCCTCTTCGTCGTCCCCGTCCTCGGCCTCGGAGCCGTCGTCTTCGTCTTCGTCGTCGTTTTCCTCGGCGTCTTCGGCGTCGCCGGCGTTGAGGGTGACGAATTCTACGTCCGAGTCGACTTCGAAATCTGAGCCGAGCTCGTCTTCGTCGTCCTCCTCCTCCTCCTCATCCTCCTCCATCTCCTCGACGTCATCGTCTTCATTGACGTCGAAGAGGGATTGCTGGCCCTTGGCGCTTTCGTCGGCTGCAAGGACATCCAGCAGGAGCTCGAGAGCCTTGGGCGAGACGCGGCTGGTGAAGTATCCGAATACCCGCTGCGAAATCTCACGCATGAGCGCGGACTGCTGCGAGACGAGCGCGAGGAGGATCTCGACCAAGAACTCTGCAGCACCCTCCTCGTCCTCTTGGAGGCGTGACTGGTACTCCTTCAGATCGCTCAGAAGTTGGAACGCGTCAGGCTCCTCGTTGTACAGCTGGAAGATGGCGATAGCGTGCAGCAAAGCCAGGCCCTGCGCAATCTTGACGTCGTCGGCAGCACCCTCGCCGGCGCCGGCGCCCGTCTTCATGAGCTTCTCCAGGCGCTTGCGGGCCTGGTTGACCTCCTTCTTCATGTCGCCCTCCATGCGGATGTAGTCGGGGTTGATGGACTGGACCGCCGTGCAGAGGTAGTTTGATTCCTCGGCCTTGCGGGAGAGCTTGGCGAACGCGGATTGGAGACGGTTCCTTGACAACTCCTGAACCAGAGCGTTGGCGTTCTCCGGGATCCAGACAAGCTTGGCGTAGGCGAGAGACGTCAACTCTTGAAGTGAGGGTTCTGGGGCTGAAGTGGTCAAGCGGAAGAGGTAGTCGATGTACACGCGGAGGTCAAGCTTGACGGTGTTGATGTCCTTGGCAGAGGTGGCCGTCTTCATGACAGGGCCACTCAACACCTGAATGATGTCCTCGCCCGTCTCAGCCTGCACGTGCTGCAGAATCTTGTCGACCGTCTTGGTTTTCGTCATGACATCGAATCTGTACAGTCCGTTGTTGCTAATCAGGTTGTCTAGGATGATGCCCGTGGCCTCGGGGTGCGACGCGGAGGCTTCCTCGATCGTCTTCAGCGTCTTCAGCGCCGCGCGGTGCAGATATCGGTCCACCTGAGACGCCTGGTTGATGAGGCAGGTCATCACGTTTCGGCTGAAGAGGACGTCGAGGAACTCGTCGTTGTTGATGTACGCCTGGAGCATCTTCTGGAACACCAAGAAGCCTCGGAACTTCTGGCCTTCGGTCGCCGCCTTTGCGAAGAAGTTGTCTGCAGATCGAAACGTTAGCAAAATGTGTGATTTGAGAAAGAAGTCGCAAAATCCCCGACTTACCATCGACAACCCTCTTCCAAAACGTCCTAAACTCCTCAACATGCTCGCTGCCCAACTTGGCAAAGTGCACAGTGATGAGATCCCACACAAAGTGCAGTTGCGGCGTCCAGTTGGCCTGCTTGTTCTTCTGCCCCCTCTGCGACATCTGCTTCTCCTTCTCCGCCTGCTCCTCGTTCGCGCTGCTCTCCTTCAGAATCGTCGCCAGGTCGCCGAGGTTCCGCGACGACAGCGGGTGGTGCTGCGGCTTCGACTGGTCGTCGCTCTTCAGCTCGGGGCACTGCTCAAGCGCAATCAGCCAGATCCCAACACCCTCAGGTGTCTTTGCCCAGCCGAGCTCTACCAGCTGCTGCAACACCATCTCGATGCGGCTGCGGTCCAGCTGGGCCAGCGCCTGCGCAACGACCCATCCGCACTGCGGCCGCAGCCAGACCTTCTTATTGCCCAGCCTGACTAGCAGCCTCAAGACCTCGTTCCACCGCTCGGGACCGTCCTCGGCCTCGAACAGCACGCGCGCGCGGACGAAGCACTCCAAGCCAAAGAGCTGTCCGAACCAGAGATCCCGCTCCTCTTGGCCCGGCATGTTTCCGCCGACGTGCGTCCTCTCGAGGAGCATGCCCAGGACCTTCTCGAAGGTGAGACCGGTATATCTCTCCTTGGCGAGATTCCTCGGCGGGCCCAGCAGCTGGCTCAGGATCTCGGTGAGCACCAGACTGTATCCCAACCTGCTCGCGGCGCGACCGCTCGCGAGACCTCTGAACAGACGCCAGTCGAGATGCCTCTCTAGACAAGCCTCCGTCACGCCCTCGCCATCCAACAGGCTCGAGATAATGGCCCCGGCGGCCTCGATGCGGTCCGTCTCGTTCTCGCTGCTGAGGAGTTCGTAGAGCTTCGCCTCGCGCACGCGGTCCTTGCCGGTGGAGTTCTCGACGAAGAGCTTCTTCTCCAGGACGACCTTGGGCAGATTTGCCCGCGGGGTGTCGGCGTTCGCATCGTCGGGGGTGCTGCTGCCGTCGGTCGTCTTTGCGCGCTTGTTTGCTTGTTCGGCGGCCTTGAGGGCTTCCCTCTCGGCGCGCTTGCGCTTTGCGCTCGCCGTTTTTGTCATTATGTTCAGTGGTTATGTGCTTCCAAAGTACGTAAATTCGTAAGGAAATCAATGCAAAGATGAAGAATGGCGTTTCTTTTTCCGTTACAAAAATTGCCTTTCCCGTTCGTCGCTCAACTCAGCGCACTGATGCTGCTGCTGCTTCTGCTGCTGCAGGGTCCCAAAAAGTTTGGCAGCGAAAAAGTTCTGCCGAGCGCCACCGCCCAGTGCAGCAAGCAATTCCAGTTGCAGCCGTTGCAGCGTTTTCAGTGTTCGCAGTCACCTCACCCACGCCCCGCCGTTTAGTGGTGGGGATCCCTGCCGGTGTCCCACTTCTACCCGCGCCTTCGATCCACTGCTTATTTCCCAGCTAATCCTCTACCTCAACCTTGATGGTCAGCGACACGCGTGACAAAGTATCTCGCTATCTCGTCCCAAGACTCTCGATCGTCCCTTCTGCTCACAGCCGTCTGTGCCCAGCTCGCCAAAGGGAGGTTGTCTTTCAATCCCACCACCTGGAACAGAGATCAAGAAACCCTCTTGCAACGTCCATCCTACACATACATATTCCAGCCGTTCGTATCGCGGTCTCGTCAGCGCCGGAAGCACCTCGCGTCTCCCGGCCCGCTGATGCTTGATTAGCTTGACCAGCAGTGTGTCCTATCAGACATCGCCAGGGTCCCCGTTGTGCTGTCAGCCCGCATGGCTCTAACCATGCACCATGAACACCCACTCTAGGCATCATCACACCATCCCTGGTCTGTATCTCTGCGCCCTCGAGCTTTTCTTGACAGCCTGATGGGGGGCAGTCTGAGTGTGGCAGGGCCGGCCACTAAGCACCTTGCGCCCAGAAATACGAGGAGCACACGAAGATCCGGTCGTGAATCCTCAATAGCTCCCTATCCCCATCGCCAGCTTTCGTGTCACAGCCACCCCGGGCAACTGGTCCTCAGTCGCTTGATGCCAAATGCCTCGTGTTTCTTTCATCCACGTTTGCGCGTCCTTCGTCAATCGACACCCTTGCAGCAATCCCAAGCAAGCTTACTCGTCCCAATCTGCCAATCATGGCCTTGTCGATCCTCAAGTGCCCGAGCCTTTCCTCATTGTGCTCATGTACCCTGCTCTCATCCCTCGTCACATTTTGCGCCGCGGTGTCACGACCCTAGGAAATTACTGCATTACGAGCTAGATAAGACAGGGCAGGCCAGAGAGCGTGAGAGAAAATTGCAGAAGTGCGTGGTCATTGAAGAAATGAGAAAACAAGCGCCACTGTGATATATAATGGATCGTCATCCCTGCTTGGCAACGCCCAATATTGCAATCCGTCCAACGTTTCCCCAAGTTTTTGTAAGAACAAGACGGACAGCAGAAGACATTTCAGCCTCTGGATCCTTCTGTCTCCCGAGAAGCCTGCTGCCTGCCAATCGCTGCCTGCTCCGATACGTCAGCGCGATGCTGTGCTGACAACTCAGCCCATTCAGCCTTTTGTGCACTCTGACGACTTGCCGGATCCTAGAAATTTCTTCAGTGTCATCCTTGACCGTCTAGTCGAAAACATCGGAGTCTTCTCGTCACGAAGCAAATTTCGATAGCTGTCTCATCGAACCTGGATGCTGACGGAGGATTCTCATCGACGAGCTCACGATACCCTCCGTCATACAAGACCACAGAGGCTGTTGCACAATTTTGCGACATCCAACCCGATACTTTGGAGATATAAGGTGGCTTTAAGACAACGAACACCAGCTTCGATAGTTTGTCGTCCGAAGAGCAAAGACGACATCCATATAAGACAAACGGTATCTGAGGGCCTTGGCGGATTTTGGGTAACCGTCGAGCCATCGAAGCGTTTGATTCGAACCAAAGGAAAAAAAAAAGTTTGGCAAACTTGCGGAAGACCATTAAGGTCTACTACGATTTTGTACGATCAGTCAAAGGAAAATCTGACAAGACGCAAGAGGTGCCTGGTCACAGAACGCAACAATAATCACGAACGTCTTGAACATCTTGTTCGAAAGCCCAGATTCGCAAGAGCAAGAGCGAATATCCAAAACAGAGAAACTCGAGAGAAGTTCCAGTCTCTCGAAATACGGTAACGCATAGTCTTTGTTCTTCATCGTCTACGACATTCACACTTCATTCGAACGACATCTCGGTGGCCATACACCAAGCTGAGCTCGTACTTTACGAGAGACCGACTTTCGAATTCCCACAACTAGATGGACTTGGTTGTCAACCTTGACCGCATCTAGACTTCCAACAATCAAATTTCACGATATATACACCAAACTCGACAACATCAACATCAACACCAATACAACATCCACCAAAATGCTCTTTCCCAAACACCGCCGTCGACCCTCCCTCCTCCTGCTCCTTGTCCCCCTCATCTTCTCCCTCCTATACCTCAACCACCGCCTCGCCAACCCCCTATCCCCGTCCCCGATCTTCACGACATCCCGCAACGCGACATCCCACCTCCTCGCCCCGCGCACGCAACACTTCTGGTCCTCCCTCCACACCCTCCTCCAAAAGACAGCCCCCTCCGTCTCCGAGCCCCTCCGATCCCTCCGCGACCCAACAGAAGAAGACCTCGACGCCTCAAAGAACGGCAACACCTCCCCGCGGCCCGACAACACCCCCCTCTCCGAGACAGACCTCGCCGCCCTGACAGCATCCCACTCGGCCTACGTCTCCGCCCTTCGCTCCCTCGCCCCCCAACTCCCCGTCTGGAAAGGCACCTCCGGCGTCGTCATGACCGCCGGCGGCGGCTACCTCGGCACCGCCCTCACCTCCCTCCTCCTCCTCCGCCGCTCCGGCTCCAACCTCCCCGTTCACCTCTTCCTCGACTCCCCCGCCGAAGCCCACCCCCACCTCTGCCACGCCGTCCTGCCCAAGCTCAACGCCGAGTGCGTCCTCTTCTCCTCCCTCCTCCGCCCGTCCGACGGCGTCCAGCACTACCAATACAAGGTCCTCTCCATCCTCCTCTCCCCCTTCGAGAAGGTCCTCTACCTCGACTCCGACGCCTGGCCCATCTCCTCCCCCGACCGCCTCTTCACCTCCGAGCCCTTCCTCTCCCACGGCCTCATCACCTGGCCCGACTTCTGGCTCACCACAATTTCGCCTCACTTCCACACGATCACCAACTCCTCCGCGCCGCCCACCCTCCGCCGCCGCAGCTCCGAGTCCGGCATCCTCCTCTACGACAAACGCGCCCACGCGCAGAGCCTCCTCCTGGCCACCTACTACAACTGGCACGGCCCGGACGTCTACTACCCCCTCCTCTCCCAGCACGCCCCCGGCGAGGGCGACAAGGAGACCTTCGCCCAGGCCGCCCTCGCCCTGTCCCAGCCCTTCTACGACGTCCGCACCCCCGACACCGTCCTCGGCCGCTGGATCAACGGCACCTTCGAGACCGCCGGCATGAAGCAGGCTGACCCGGCCGCCGACTTCCGCCTGCAGGGCGGCTTCTCCGGCGCGGACCTCGACGCCGACCACGCCCGCGAGCCCCCGGCCGCGAAGAAGGCCGCACCTCTCTTCATCCACCACAACCTCTTCAAGATCGACCTGTTCAAGGTCGGCGGCGCCAGCGACCCCATGTTCCGCCTCGACGAGGAGGGCAAGCCGGGCCGGCTGTGGGGGCCGGACGAGAAGCTGGTGCGGGATAGCGGGTTCGACGTCGAGAGGGCCATGTGGGACGTCGTGCTCAAGGCCAACTGCGGCAAGACGACGGCGGCCGCGAACGCGGCGGGCTGCGGGAATCTCAAACGCTGGTACGAGGCCGTTTTCGTTGAGGCGCCGCCGTTGGTTGATGGCTTGTGAGGCGGCGGAAGGGGAAGAACACGAAAGGGAAGGCTTCTCCCAGCATCACATCACGCGACTGTAGCAAAAGCCCCTGGGGTCACTATCCCCACGAACTACAGTACTTCTCAGGGGTAGCAAGCAACGACAAGCTCGCCGTCACGGCTTGGAAGGACACTTATCCCGTCCGGTTCTCTGGCTGGTATACAAAACCCCCAATTCACGACCGGAGCAAGCCTTAGCAGCGGGAACTAGAGGGCATCCAAATCATAACCACACCTATCGAGGCTCAAGATGCCCGTCCGTTCGACTTAGTTCAGGAGAAGGTCGCTCGGAGGCTACTCCGTCAACGCTGCAGGCCTCCTTTTTTTCTTTGTCCATTTCTCTCCCGCCACGTCCCGTTGGAATGTTTGATGTTTTAGCCCGGAGGCCCGGAGGGAGGCGGGCTGCTTAGCATTACACGTCCCGAAACTGGACGGCTCTAGACCGCCACCAAGGAGCATAACGTACAAAGTGGCGGCGTGGTGCTTTTTGGCCCGTCAGCCAGGGCAGGACGAAGCTTATGCCTCAAGATCACCGCTAGAGTTTGTCCACAAATCCTCACGAAACAGACAAAGAAACCCAGCAAACACGGCCGCCACATCGGCTAGCCTCCGATCAGGAGTCAACGCCGCGCGCTTCGATACCCAAAGACGGACGACGGGTCGGAGGAATGTTACGGGGAATTAAACAGGCCCGGTCGAGACGGCGCATCGCCGGCTGGCTGTTCGGCTGCGAGCGTGTAAGCCGCCGTGGCGGTTTCGCCCAATCTGGGTGTCGTTGGTTGCAGGCAAAAAGTCTCGCAGTCTCGGGGATGTGGGGGACGGGGAACAGAGCAACGGGCAACACACATGCGAGGCAGGTTTGAGAGGAGGAGGAGGAGGACGACGACGAGGGGGCGAGGAAAGGACCCTGAATGGCACTATCTGAAGCCGTCACGGGTCGGGGCATTTTTCCTCGCTTGTGAGGATGCGCATGGGGGAGGGGTGTTGGTGTTCTTCTCGCCAGACATGGGCGAGGCCGATCCAAGGCCAAGCGAGCTTAGGCGAGTCTCGAACTACGTTGCCTTTTTGAGACGTTTGAATAGGCGGGACTTTATCCAGGGCATTGTGTTCCTTCGATATGCGAAGAAAGATCGGATGGCGGAGGGGGATGAAGACTGAGACCCGTTCCGGCAGTTGGATTTTGACATGATGCTAGAAATCTCGCTGTTGTTGTGAGAAAGGCAAACCGGGGAATGGGTGCAGAGAGTCAGGTCAAACCTCACCCCGCCGTCCCCGGTGAAGCGGACACCGACATTTGCTTGGTGGCAAACAACAATTTGGAAGCAAGCACCGAGCAAGCTGAGCAGATAAGATGGGGACCGGGCTCACCGGGTGATATCGTGTCGTTTCAGACATCGGTGCGGGTTACGCTGCTACCGAACAGCATAGGTCCGTTTGGAGAGTTGGAATCGGTTCCCGTAGGGTTTCTGTAGCACAGCCCGGTTGCCGCTCATGGTTCCTCTGCAGACCGTGAGCCTCCGGCGCAATCAATGAGAAACCGTCGGACACCCCGGTCCATCGCCCTCTGCATGTTTCGACCCAGCTTTTGGGGGGGTTTTGTATGGCGGATCGTCACTCTCTCGTATCGCAGTCAGCCCAATGCTGCTGGAATAAAGTGCGTTGCGTGCTTTTCGAAGCTCAAGCTTCGAAGCTGCGTGCTGGGTTGCATGCTGCGCCGCGCCGCAGGCCCCTGGCAGTGAAGCGGGGAACCCAGTCGATTCGTTCTTGGGGCTGTTGCCAAAGTTCCTAGGACGCGCGCAGGTCGCGAAGAAAAACGTTTGTGTCCGTAGCAGCCTGCGGAATCGAACTCTGCCCAGCCCAGCAACACCCATGAGTTCCGGCGGGGTGGAGGGGGAAGTTCGTGAGCATTGAGCAGAGCTTCAGAGCAAGCTGAGCGGTAGGAGCAAACACCCCTGGGCTGACATCAGAGGAAAGCCCCTCCGCCGAATCCTCGCAGCCTTGCGATCACGAAACCATCAGCAGATTCAGACTCCAGCTCCTGCCGGGTTTTGATTCCTTGCTTCCTGCTGTCTGACAGACGACATGGGACCAAGAATCCAATCATGGTGATGCAATGGCGTCGGAGTTCGTCCGTATGGAAACGGGGACGCGAGCATCCGTGGGCCGTCATCGTATGCCGAGGTTGACCGATGGAGTTTTCAGCGTTCGGGTTTGTTTCCATCTGTTGTTGCTTGCCTCATTCTCGTCCCAGTATCCGGATCCCTCCACCTCCATCATCTCCAACAACTTGATCAAGCCCTGGTCAACGACCCCTCCATCCTCCTCCAGCTCCAGCTCCAGCTCCAGCTCCAGGTTGAAGCTCCAGGGCAGCTCCAGGCTCCTCGATTTCTCCAAAAACAGGAACAGTGGAACGTGCACGAGGGGATGGCCATTTTCCCGGGCACGTCCCCTGTCAGCAGCTGCCAGAGGTCCAGATGACGGGCGGCTAAAAAAGGACGTCACTTTCTCAAATGATCCTTGTCGATGCATGCACCTCAGTTCTCAGCTGCACCTCAACCTTGCTCTGTCTCCCCTCCCACCCCTCGGCAGACCTTTCCCCCGCCAGCACTTTGCACGTGACTTCGCGCTCGACAAGGATCGTGAGGCAGGGTCTGCAGGGGCCCATTGTTTACATGAGTCGCGAACCCGCAGTTTGTAAACAAAGTACAGTGCCAGAAAACTGCTGCCAAAACCTGCGCTGGAAAAAAAGGAGTCTGCCCGCGACGAGAAGCGACGACGAAAAAAATCCCCTCACTGGAGGGGGTTCGGGAGTCGGGCGCGCTCGGGACACGCTGGAGCGAATGTGGCTTTTCCCACCCGCAATGCTACGCGCGCCAGCGCCGGCACCCGCTTGCTGCTTCACCATTGCCTCCCTTTCTCAACGGCGGAGAGGAACAAAGAACGAGATGCCCACAACGGGCACCGTTTTCCCAGCCCGCCCGTCCTAGGCCAATGCCTAATGGCAACTCTCAAACGCTCAACAGCTAGGCAGAGTCATGCACGAGGCAACGCTCCGCTGTAGATGCGCACAGCACCGAGTAAGAGACACCTGCGACCGCAATGCGCTGCGTTTGATCCAAGCCAGGGTGCAAAGAGGGGAAACTGCAGATATGCAAAACCTCTGTGCGTCCAGAGGGCGTGGGCAATGAGGGGCACGGAAGGTCGGAGGAAGCTGACGGGGAGGGAAGCAAGACGCCATCGCACCTCGGTCACGCGGCATCGGTCGATAGCTTGGAGTTGCTGGACGGCCGGCCCGTCTAGATAGAGCTGAAAGTTTGACCTGACAGACACGTCGCGATGCGGCTGCGCCTCCTCATTGGATTGTGTCTGACGCCTGTCCCATCTCCTCACATGCAGGTAATCCTCAATAGCGTGAGATGGGCTCATTGGATCCAAGGCAGTCCTCGGCTGGTCATCGTGATTCGCACCGCAAAAGATAAGCCAAGCTGCGGTGTCTGTACCTACGCGCGGTAAACAAACAACATGCGAAGCTGAGCATCCAATCCGCTTCCTCGGTGTCTCCTCTGACCGACGCGGCGTGCGTTGGTTCGGTGGTCCTTGTTTTGGGTTGACTGACAGGTACGACGGCCGGTTCTGCGACCCATGGCACTTTTGGCCGCAGACAGCCTTGATCTGGGCCACTAGCATGGCATTGATGCTTCATATTTGTGCAAGTGCTCCAGATAACCGGCGATGTGACTGCATCACATTGGCCGCGAGCCCAGCGCAGCCCGAGAAGGGATCTCGATACATATGGCAAGACGAGACCTCTGCCTTGCCTACGGCTCTTCGCGGTAGCAAGAAGGAGGGTCAGGCGGCCCGGGGGTCTTGGATGGTGACGATCAATTGCCAGGCTGGACTCCGAGAGGATGACGTCTGTTTTAGAGCCGGACTAGGCCGCCGCAAGTGATCGGGGCCGATGTGCGTGATCGATGATTTTCACATCGAGATGGGACTTCCTCGCACCGCCCTCTACGTCGAATGTCTATCAACTCGCGTCCAAAATTCGTCCCATTTCGTCCACTGCGAGACCATGTTTTGGAAACTTCGCTCAAGTGCCGGGTGAGACCATGATTCTCCATCAGGGGAAGATGCCTGATTGCCATGTTTTTGTTGTGTTGGACTGTGCTTTTCGTCGAAAATCTTTTTCTTCCTCTACTCGCGTTTGATGACTCAACCCTCAACAAGGGAGAACCCCCTCAATATCAGAAAAACACTGCCAGTATTCGGTAACCCGTGTCGTTGTCTCGCTGAGCTTATGTCAGTAAATCTCCGGGCCGCTTTGACGAGCGGTGCGATATTGGGGGTTTCGGTCGCCTCGTGGGCCCGGCCTAGGATCGGTCGATGCTGGACATTGAAATGATTCATCTCCATTTTGCCGTTTGAGCATTTTCATTAAGCTGTAAGGGAGTTCGGGAGATGTTCTTGCCCGGCGTGATCCCTCGAATCCTTGTTGGCGCTGAGGTTCGTGCGATTGATATAGCAACGCAAAAGGAGTCATTTGGGAGAACGAGGGAGATACGCTCCCAATGGCGTCAGTTTGGCTCAGGCGTTGCCCTCCAGCTGAGTTAGGCTTCGCCTGCGAACAAGGTTTGAGGCGCAATTCGATAGGCCAAGCTCAAGTAGCCTGATAAGACACATCAAGACCAGGGCTCGTCTGCGTCAGCCACGGGCTGTCAGTCAGTAGTCAGTCAGTTGACCTTCCCGTCCGCCTTCACGACGTGCGCATGCAAGTGCACAATTGCCTGTGCCCACGCTTGGACTTGAAGCCGTCGACTGGCAATCACAGCCCATACGAAGACCCCTTTCCGCGCCAACAGTCGTTACTCTCGTTAGTGAGCCAATGACAGACATGAGCTTGAGTGAAGCGGAATCGGAAGGAAGAGGTGGGCTGTCAGTCGTAGTGCATTCGTAGTGCATCCGCAACTTGTCGTCGCG